AGGCACCTACATCAAATACTTTGGCATGAAATAGTCTAGCATGAAAATAGTCCATCATGAAAAAAAATGTAGTTATGCAACAAATCTGCGAAAAACTAGCACAGTGGTCAAACAAGAAACTCTCTTCCAATTGGACTACTTGTATCAAATCAGGTCGTATTCAAGAGCATATGATATTTGGCTTCATGCAGCATTATCCAACAAAAGGTCCTAACAAAGATAAGAGCCATTTTTTGGAACTTTGTATGGACAAGCCACCTGGACAAGAAGATAAGGGCCAAAGTGGCATAGGACACAGTAATTGCCCCGATAGCCTAAGACAGGATTAGGGTATTCAACCCACTGGGCCAAACGAGAGCATTCTTGGCCAAAATAATATTAAGAGCCCTAGTCTTAGAAGAAGAACCTTGGAAATCCCTCATCTTGCACAAGATCAAGAACACACAACTTTGCATGGACAAAGATTGGAGCGAACATTTTGGTTGGCTATTCATGGCCCTCAAAATACAACTTCAAGGCTCAAACCTTTGGCAAGCAATACAGATGGCTTGGTTGACGATCCAAAAAAAACTTACCAAAGCTCTTATCAACACATGCCAAAAAGATGCAACAATCTCTATTCTTGAAAACAAAAATCACCCCAGACGATAACATCAACTTGGAAGTAGAAGCCAAATTGAGGTTTTGCACATAGTTCATCAATGGGATCAATAGGGTGGAAGAAATATGGGATGGCTACTAACACAATTGGTAGACCGACCAAACATTAAGACAAGATCACTCACCAATTTTTTTGAAGATCAAACATAAAGGCCCTCCCATTTCCCGACAGCCCTTCTTCGATAAGAGATAGTTACATAGCGAGGAGGGCAGACTTATGTTGAGCCAAGCGTGGAAAGAGGCCATACAACAACATTCAATCGACACCTGGGCGATCAAAATCATAGCCGCCCTACGAGCAATTCGTAGGTCTCAGGTCGACGACAGATGCAACGTTCAATTTTTTGCACATCACAATGCGAAAAGCAAACGAGGCCACATTCCCGAATTCAACTACAACAATCAAATTCTAATGCAACAAGCAGATATGGCCTCATATGCACAACAATACTACCAAGACCTCTACAGCAGAGACCCAATGGTTGAGAACAATAATTTCTAGATTTTGAAAAAGCTTACGATCGGATCAACTGGAGATTCTCAAAAGCAGCACTTACTCAGATTGGATTCTCCAATTCCTGGATAAATATAGTCATGGCCCTCAACAAGGAAGCTGCAGCCACGATCACGATGAATGGACAAAATGGCCCCTTATTCAAAATAGAGAGATCGGTTTGCCAGGGATGCCCCTTGGCACCATACCTCTTTTTATTCGTAGCAGATGTCCTGAGGTACATGCTGGACGACCCCAAATGGCAAGTACAAGGACTCACACTATCGGACAACTCATCCCTAAACAATCAAATGTTCGCAGATGACACTGCACTGTTCCTAAAAGGATCCCCGGAAAACCTCACAAGAGCAATGCGAGCTCTGACTCGGTTTTGTGAAGCCTATGGGGCAAAGATCAACTGGTACAAAATTTGTGCGATCTGGGCATCTTAACACGAACGCAGCTGGAATTGGGGAGAAGATCTAAACTTAATTTGGAAAACTACAGGCCAATCCGTCAAGTACTTTGGCTTCCATATAGGTTTTTGATTACCAGCGGAAGAACGGGGAAATAAGGTAGTACAACAAATTACCAAACAGCTGGTAAAGTGGGGATCCAAAAAGCTGTCCCTAGCTGGAAGATTACTAGCAATCAACCAGGTTATACTTGCTTCCATGTGGTACCTAGTTTCATGCTCCAGAAACTAAGATATATATCCAGATCCGTGCTATGATCAGAAACTATCTATGGGGTGGGATAACAAGTGGCAAAGTAAGGGCTAAGGTCAAATGGGACACGATAATCCAACTAATGACACAAGGAGGACTCAAGATAATTGGCCCCGCCACAAAAGCTAGGGCACTTCTAGCAAAATTGATTGCTAGGGGGCTTACTCCTGGTCTAGAACCATGGAAAATCATGGTTAGACATAGAATAGAAGCAATCAGGTTCAAACAAAACGGACAGTGATATCCGAGTCAACATTGGGTGATAGGAAGCAACTTACAAGTATGCCCACAAGGATCTGATTTGTGGAGAAGCGCCAGTGCAGCATGGAGCAGCATACAACACGGCTTATCAACTCTTCCACCACTATACAAAATCCTTCGCCAACCGATCTGTGGCAACCCCAGAATAGTAGATGTTGAGCAGAAAATGTTAGGCTAAGACAAAAAGGACCGATTCATTCAATGATCGAGAAAAGGCGTACACTCATTCTTAGACAAATGGGATGACAATAGACGCGACTGGTACACAACCACCTGCCTCCAACAGAGAACGGGAAGCTAGCGTGCAGACCTCCAGCATTACCAGCTCCAGGATTGCATCCCTTGGAATCCAAACTCGGCACCCCCTTACTCCTCACGTGATTGGTGGACGCCCGACATCAGAAACACTACAATAGAAATATTTCACATTCACGGAATAGAAGAGGGTAAACTCCGAGGAATCAAATACGTCGTCCTTCCCTCAGAAGAACTAGGATTGGTATATGAAGAACAACTACAGATCGGAACCACGGAACTGCAAAGGGTTCGCATAGCTATCAAAAACGAACATCAAGTAGTCATCGGATTCAACCCCACCAGCCCCGTCCGCTGCCCCCAGACACCCTGGATAGCTGGAAAACGCCCAATACAAGCCCTCACGTTCGACTCAGCGGAATTGGAATGGCCGCGTCAATAACACCACAGACCAAGCTCTATATACAACTATACATCACAACGAAGCTACCAACTCGGCATCACCGGACGGATGGCTCCCCTCAAAAGAAAACACATACTTCGACAACACAACTTCAATGATACACAATGCCAATAATTCTATAAGAAGCTCTGGCACCCCTGGCTCCCCAAGAAAGTGGCAGCCATGCAGTGGCTCACCCTCGCGGAAGGCCTCCCAATGGGTCACTGGCGAAGGGTAATGCAACTAGACCCCTCTTGCAAACTGTGCAACATAGGAGAAAGCGAAACCATCCAACATGCATTCTGGGACTGTCCGGCCATCCACCTAGCGTGGACACGCTACAATACACTACGACGAATGGCTTCTCGCAGCAAACTACAAGACTGGAAGGAGAGGCTATACGACAAACTGGATCCAACTATTTTAGAAAACGAGAAACCACTCACTACAACTGTCCGCATCTCCAACGAAACGCCATGATTCCTACTCAAGTCACTAATAAAATGGAACATATGGTGTGCCAAATGCAGTTTTGACAGAGACCGGGAATCATTTCATATCGGCCAGGTTCTCTATAAAGCTTGGAGGACCACAGTACATATTGGGATCGAAGCATGGCGAGAATTACATCGCCATCCTACACCTTCCAATGAATATCAACAAAAAACAGCGCTATTCATGAAGATCTGGACCGAGGACAACATATTCGCCACTCAAGAACCATTCACTTGGAAAATGATCCCACCACCGACATTCATCTCGCTAGAGCTAGCCGTTCATCCCCACCAGAATGCACCGGAGCTTCGACCGATCCCTCATCCAGCCCTACGCACCGCAATAGACGCACTATTCAACAATCCCGTACCAAGGACGCCAGCGACGCCCAACATCTGGACAAACTGAATCAGGAGAACAGATAGCGAAGAGGTCCTGTATTGCATAGAGATAGAAAACATCAGAGAAGCATACAGAGACGAACTAAGACAACGCAACCAACAAGAACAAGAATAACCCCAACACACAATCCGCCAACGCCTCCGACAACATGTCCAGCAAGACAGCCACGGGTCCCACATAAAAAATTGCATGCAAATTTTTGTAGCCCTTGCACATACCGATATGGAAGACTCTGATCTTTTTCGATTAATCGACGGTGTGTTCGCCACGAGAGCTACATGGACACAACTGTTGGAGCAAGATGCAAGACAGCAAGAAACTACACACAACGACAACTATTCCAGCTCGGAAACGACGTCTTAGGGTTCCAATAGAGAGTCAGTCGCTATAGCAGCCATAGTAACATACAGTTCCACACCCATAGGAGACACAAACACACTAACACACAAACAAACAGGGCAGCATCGTCAAGTTTACAACTTAGCAAGTGATCATCTGGAACACAACGCAACAAGTGGCAACAGAAAACAGTAAATAGACAGCAATACAGTTAGGATTTCAGGAACAAACAAGCAGTAGTGCTGCAGTCCAGGCCCTCGGGGCCCCACCGAGGGTGCAGAATTCGAAACAAGCGTGAAAAGCGCGGAATTGTCCGAAACTTTAGTATTTTACTGTGGTGCAGAGTTGGGCTTAGTTGGCTAGAGCACCCGATTAGTGAGCGGGAGGTCCTGACTTCAACTCTCAGTGGAAGCATCAACCATTATTTTGTCCGTAGTGAGGGGGAGTCGAAGATGAAAACTAGAGTTTTATTCAGGGTCGCCTTGCGCCTCACCAGTGCAGGTCCGTCATCCCTCCGCACTCACTCACACTGCATCACCTCCACGCACCGCATTTCCCCTTCTTGCATGCACGTCGAGGTGTTGATTGGAAAACCATTGGGATCGAACATTTTTAGGAAATTTCTAGTGTTGATTTTGCACTTCTGTAAACTGTAGAGTGTATGCATGACTGGCAGAATTAGTTCTCAGTTAACTCCGTAGTTAACAATTCCTTTTTTTTTCATGTTCGTTTCTGTTTATTTAATTGTTATCTTACCTCTTCATCAAAAAAATGTGTGCAGTGGAAGAGTATTAATTGGACTCCCCATAATATTCAGGAAAAATATTTCCAAAAAAATGTATTCATGTACACGTATGTACATATTACTTTGAAGATCAAAAAGGTTTTAAAAAACATCTCCACAACAGTAAATGTATTCAAAATAGATCTGCAAAGTAAAAATCAAATTGAAGTTTGCAAGAGTGTTGCGCTCAGGAGCACACATTCCCACTAGTTAAATATATAATTGATGGTATTGAGGTTCGGAATGGTACAAAATCATCGAACTTCAATGACATCACAACAGAGTGCAGACTCTAATTGCAGTTCTAAGCTCTAGATACTTTATCTGTAAGGAGGCTTCAAAACACTAACTGAGCAGAACCACACAAGCTAATGCTTCTCTTTCAATATCAAAATTACAACTTGAACAGATACGATGTTCCATCCATTGGTTCCTTGTCGAAATAAAAATAACCATTGCACAATAATGTGGACTGCTGGTGGTTTTACTAACCTCCAGAAAAGAATCGAGGTTGCTACTTTCAGTAACACAAACGGTCGAACGAGCGAGAAAAAATGCGCCAAGTAACCGAAAGGTTTGACTCCGTTGCCTACTGTGCAAAGCAGATTTCGGAGCACGGCATTCTTACTCCAAACGCCCTGATACTCTACAGAACCCTCTTTTTATTAAAAACACAACAAGAATCTCTGAGAAAAGCTCTGGCATGCGCAGAATCTGTGACAAGTTTTCTTCAAAGCCTTCGGAAGAGCCGAGGTCAGAAAACCTGGCAATGCGTAACATCAGAAACATTTGTTCATGTAGTCACCACTTTCAAAAACAATCAAGTTACAGGGGAATCGATGCGTGCCGAAAGTACTGATCACCGAAGCTTGCCATTCGGAATTCTCTCTGTTGCAGGAAGTTAGTCGTATTCCTGAATGTCAGACGGAGAGGAAGGGCCCATATCGGAAGCAGCTCCACTGGATCGGCGCTTGATGCTCAGCGTGGCGCGCTGCATGAGGCGTACCAGCGATTGTACCACTTCAGACATGGGAGGTCGGAATTCGGGTTCAGGCTGCACCCAAAAATATAAAACCAACCAGCGCATGAGTCAGATGGATTGGGAGACCGAATGACAATCTTGTATTGATGGAAGAGATGGTAAGTTCTATGGCAGATGTGAGTAAGTTATGATTCATAGATGAGAAATTCATGGAACAGCAAAGAGGGAATTCGTAAGTGACGCACCTGGACACATAAGGCAACAATATCAGCGAGTCGGGAGAGGGACTTGGCGGGATAGACACCCTCCAGCGCTGGATCCACCATCCGTGCCAATGCGTCGATGTCGTGTAGTTGGGGGGTTGCCCAGCGCACCAGGGATTGCTCTGACCTTGGCCTTGAGCTGCAAGCAATCGAGATTGCACGAAGAATGATTCAGAAGATCAGTGAAATACATATGGAAGTAGTACATGGATTCCTTAAACCAAGTGAATGAAACATAAAAGGTTCGATCTAGTGAGAGGTTAACATTAAAGTGAACCTGTCCAAAGGCTGGCGCCCAGTCAGAAGCTCCAGCATCACAACGCCGAAGCTGTAAACGTCGCTCTTCACTGTGTAAGTTCCTGACATGGAGTATTCTGGAGCGCTGTATCCGACGGAGCCCAACAATTGCGCAGAAGCCTGGTTTTTAATATCAAGGTAACTAGTCAACAAACTTGCTAGAAAGTAACTGATTGTTTGTCCTGCATTCTTAGGAACCATTCGAAGACATGACTTAAGCAAATAACAACATCTGTAGAGCATGTGAGTGGATTGAGAAGGGTACAGACCTGCCGTTCGACGCCAGATGGAGCGAAAGCGGCCAAGCCACAATCCGAAACGTGTGGGTTAAGCTCATCATCCAACAGAATGTTGGCAGCCTTAAAGTTGCGGTGGACGACAGGCGGAGAACACACTTCGTGCAGATACTCAAGAGCTCGGGCTGCACCCAAGGCGATCTTAACACGCATATTCCACGACAAGCCCTTAGTGTTCTCTTCGGTGCCATGGAGCAGATCATAGAGCGTCCCGCGGCTGATGTACTTGTAGACCAGCAGCCGCTGGTCATGCTCCGCGCAGTACCCCACTAGCTCCGCTGCGTGGGCGTGCTGCAGGTGCGCCAGGCCCTCCACCACGCTTAAGAAGTCGTCCTCGTTCTGGATCATAGAGCCAGCCTTTGGGTCCAGCTTCTTCACCGCCAGGATCTGGCCGTCCGGCATGTCGGCGCGGTAAACGCACCCCATGCGTCCCTCGCCGAGCAAGTTGTTCGGGGAAAAGCTGTCAGTGGCCGCCTGAAGATCTGCCACGGAGAAAGCTGTAGCTGCAATGTTGCGCGGCTTGGTGACCTTGCTCCCTCCACCAGTAGCTTTCGACTTGGCTACGGGATCTTCTCCCTTGAACGCTGGCGGCACTTTGAGCGCCTTCACTGGCGGTGTGGCCTTGAGGATCTTCTTCGGTTCTTCCGTTTTCGTCACTAGAGTCTCTGCAAGACCGATTCCAAACTTAACCCTTGCGTCTAACCTGAGGAAAAGCATACCTAGTGCATGAATCCAAAATCTATTTCATTTAGACTGGATGATTTCTCACCTGGTTCAAAAATCTTGGCCTTAGATGTCTTTTCTTTACCAACCTTGCGGGGCTTGTCTGCACCAAAACTTGTCTTCTCTGCACCATCCCAGAAAAGAGAACAATCAATAAGTTGTGAACATTTATCAGACAATGAATTGTAAAGTGTTAGGAGAGGTACATGCAGTAATTTACGATTGGACCAAGTTTCCAAACAAAATGGACCTGTTTTGGTTGGAAACAGAGGTGGAAACCGGAAACTACGCCGGTTGCTGTGGTTACTAGCCTCGACATCCGGCTTTTTAGTGCGCTTCGAGCGTTTACGGATGGCGAGGAACCACACGGCGATGATGATAGCAGCGAGCACCAGGACGATTACCACGACAATGCCAGCAATTCTAGGACCAGTTAAGAAGCTTGATGAACCAGATGGGGCACTAGGTGGGTTGGCTCTGCGCCTCGGAGGTGGCGGCGCAGTGTATGGAGGTGGAGGAGGAGCATTTTTGCTGATAGCGGTGCCATCAGTTCTGCAAGCAACAATTCATAATTCAATACCATCGATATACTTTAGTATATGGAGAAAATTACGGAGAGGTAGGAAATTCATGATTGCTTTTGAGATCAGTGAGCAGGCCCTTCTTTCATAGTGTTCGAACAGAGCGAAGGGCCTCAAACTCTCAGACTACACATTTACACAATAGTAAAATGATTTATAATAGAAATCATGAAGAAGCTGCCATTCATCCTAAAGTTCCAGCATAAAAACCAACGAGGTATGATTGTTCATTATACCTGAGATTCCTTGGTTTGAAGTTCGGTGGTAGATACCCCGTGATCTGGTTATTAGAGACGTCACTGTCGCAAGCAAGACATCGAGATGGTCGGGCTATAGCAATTGAGAGGAAAGGAAACAGAATAATTGATGTGATAAATGCAGCACAAATTCCAAAAGAAACTACAGAGATTCAGTCATATACTCACAAGGTGTCTAGCAGTGGCATGAGATTAGCCAAGGAAGTTGGTAGTTGGCCGGTAAGCTTATTGTTTTGCAAGTACCTAGGCACAAAACAGTTGATCTATTTCAGTTCAACAACAAATTAATTGTTGACCTGAACCAGGTCGGATAGAAAACACCGTACTCGTATCATGAAAACGCTCCTGCAGTCGAGGGTAGCATTCGCTACAATGCAAAGTACACATTGAGGGATCAATTCTACAAGGTACTCACAAAAACTGAAGGCTCGCCATATTGTCACCTATCTGTCCAGGAATCGATCCAGAAATCTCGTTGTTGGAAATATCGCTGCATGCAGATAGGAGCTTGTTAAACTCTCCAACTCAAAGAAAAACAGGTGAATCCATTAAACTGTCTGCAGATTTTGAGCGACAAGTAACTTCTGACGAGCAGAAACAAGCGTCAATCAACAAACTCTTGACAATGACTTACAAGGTGACCACGTTCACCAGTTTCGTAAAAATCTGGCCGTTAAGTGTACCATCCAGCTTGTTATTGTTGAATTTACTGCCATGAAACAATTTCAAACTCAATCAACTAAAACGAACTGAGGCGTAAAAGATTGAAAACGATTGAATATAAAAGACTAGTTTAAATATAAAACGTCACTACATACGTAACCACATGCAAGACAAGCAACAAAAACCAGCCTCTTATATGTGATGTTTACTGTAGAATACCTATCAATTCAATAAGTTCTCTACATAAAAAACGTAGTAGCTAAACAATCGATTATCAGCGGTTTTGAAGTGAATTAGATTCAACCAGTTTTCAATATCCTTCTTTTCATTCTGTGTCAGAACAACTTACATGCTTTTTAAACCAGGGCAGTCATAAAGTCCGTAAGGGAAGCTATCCTTGAACTGGTTGTTCGACAGGTTTCTACAAGAGCGCAATTAAACACATGAGAGCTGAACCCCACTAGCAACCTAGCAGTAATATATAATCCAAGACCTACAGAAAAATTTCCATCTCCAACACACATACAATGATGCATACCAACAGGAAATTACGCCTAATAAAGAATACTACTGCAACTTTTTTACTCCTTAATTTTACCGGAATGAATCAAGCTTAATTATAAACCTGGTCATTAATTTGAAATAAAAGACGGTGACTTACATATCAGTCAGTTTGGAAGGAAACAACGCAGGGACAGAGGAATCAAAATTGTTCCCACTAAGATCGCTGCATCAAAACAAACACAGAACCAAAGGAAAAGATTACTCATCAATCACAACTTATACTCGCTACTAGCAAAACTTTAAAAGAAAAGAAGAAAAGAAAAGAATGGATTCAATAAGGCCAAAGGCACACGCTGCTTACAGCGTAGTGAGGCGCGAAAACTTTTGTATTACCCATCCCTCGACCTTCCCATTCAAGCCAAGATTGGATAGCTTGCTGCAGCAACCGAAACAATCAATAATCAATAATCAGACTAAGCTGCCACAAACTGGTCTTGTCAACTGTCTTTCATACTGCATTAGTTCAATAGTGTGGTTAACTTAATGGAGAGGGAGGTCAGTGAGCTCACATGGAGGAGACAAAACCGCCGTCACAAGTAATCCCCAGCCAATTGTTACCACAGGGATCACCGGCGCTTTGCACCCAGTTGGTAAGCCTCGGATTGTTATTCATGTCAGTGAACATAAAATTCAATGTACTTACTGTCCATTCCCACAATTACCACCAACAAGTCAGAAAACCGCCTCTTCAAATTCTTCTGCGCTTAATACCAGTATCGTAACCTAATTCAGTGACCTAATCTAAGGTGAAACGATATGCAAGGCTCCCGACTCTCTCGACCTACATATCGCTTAATGAGAGAGATGCTTCCATGTGTAATTCCAAGACAACTCTTTGTCGTCGCGTAGCTACCAAGCCCGAAATAATTCAAGTAGAACTGCACATCACATCAACAGAATAAAACAAGACCCAAGAAGAGCTTCTCAATAAGGGATAGCGGTGGAGCATCCGGGAGGTAAAGGAGCACGAGATTTAAGAGGATCCTACCATCATTTGGATCAGTGGCTCCATCAACAAGAGAAGCGCACAAAAGTGCCACAAGCGTATACAAAACGGCTCCTGCTGCTGCCATTTCTCTCTTCCCAGAACTCCTCCCGATTATGATTCCATCCTGCTTCTTCGGGATTGCTCCCTTCGCCGCCAACTCAGTCATTGAGGCGCCAGTCTTACGATCCAGAAACCACGCAACGCTCCAGACCTGCCCTTCGCACAGTTATTCCTCCGCTCTCCGCTCTAAGCCACTGGCCACAGTCCCTCAAGTCTGCACTCAATGGTAACACCCGCCACATTCATCATCACCATCCGTCCAAAACCTCAACGCAAAATCTCCCCATCTTCTGCGACGACTTCAACCAGCGCAAAACACACACTCACTCCTCTCCACCACTCCAGTCCCATTAACACCAATCCGACAAAAACTGATCACTCACTCACTCGCTCACTCGCTCACTCGCTCACTCACCGAGCAAGCGATCAACGAGCAGCCCGGACAGCGCGACGAGGCGAAGAGGAGCCCACGGGGAGCCAAGGCGTAGTCCTAGAGATGGGACGAGACCACAAGGAACGCTAGCAGCGAGGAAACAGGCGAAGGCATCGGAAACAAGAGGCATCAGCTGCGAATAGTAACCCCCCGCATGGGAGCAACTCACATACAGCAGTTGAGCTGTTCCAGTAACATAACTCCCGAGCATGGGCTCTAGTCCCTCAGATTCATTGCTCGGCCCATCCCATCCCCAGTTTCCACTCTTTCTGCCAGCTTCTGTCAGTCGTTCCTTGGGGTGCCGTGACAGAGAAACTCATGGGGCACATGTGTGGATGCCGTTCCATGCCGTCCAGCTCCCAGTTTAGGTGACGGAGATTTGGCGTAATTGCAGTACTCAGTGTCGAGCAGCCAGTCTGGCCGATGGAGAATGTGGGATTTCTACTGCTCAAAGGGGGCTGTTTGAATTGGTATGCGCCCCACTATTAATAATGGCTTAAAAGGTGGAACGCCGCGGCTGCCTCGATGCCTCCATTGGATAAGGAGGCTGCCCTTTCTGGGATCCCGAGTCATCAATAGCGTGTGTCTGCCAACATGATCGCGCTGACAGGTACATGTGGAGGTCTTCACTTCCGATTATCCCTACCAGGTATTCGTTTGTAGCCCTTACCGCTCTCCGTGTTCGATGTTGTGCTCAGGAGATTAGGGTTCTCCACTCCAGAACTATGCCCTTCGGCGCCCATTCTCATGCCCATCCCCTGCCCCATCTGCGAGGCAACCTTGATCCCATTACGACGTGAAAGTCCTTCACAAACAACAGTGTTTAAAGGAATCACCTAGAAGTCATTGTGTAGGAGCTTGGTGGGCGATCTAATTGCAATCAAGGACCGCCCAGTCGCTACCATTTAACGCCATCCTCCGACCTGGGACTCGCGTTGTTTGTGGAGGACTTTCACGCCGTAATGAGATCACTAGTTCTGTTTGCAGAAGCAAAACAGAGATCACAACCGAAATTACATGGCAAGGTTGAGATCTTACCGACTGTAGCTACGACAGGTAATTTTTAGAAGTGTTAGAATCGTGTGTGAAAAATGGTCAGAGTCGCAACTCTACCTGAAGGGAAAACCTAGCACGGAGATAACGACTCTCAGATATTACAAAATAAAGAAATAAAGGTCAGGGCCTCGTTTTTCATGTTCAACAAATTTTTAGCGGTGGCGTTTAATTTAGGGCGAATGAAACAAGATTTTTTACGCTTGTCAAGAGCATTTGGGACTTTCTCTTTGATTTTCAGAAAATAGTAACTGTCTGCATGCTTTGTTAGAATATAATGTTAAAAGATAATGTTAAATAAGGTTGGGAAGTTCAGTATTGAGTTTCAACATCTGTTAGACTTGTGCTTAGGCTTTTAATCCATCCGCGACACATCTTCAGAAACCAGTTGCCATAAGCTGCTTTCAGGCCTTGTCGGAACCATTGTCGAACAAAGACGAGGACTTTCGGGGTTCCTTCGCTCCCCATGGCTCAACATGACATGAGTCTCACTCACCAACCCTCTTCCAAATCCCAATATTTGTCCCAAATACGCAGGCTCCCTGTCACATGGTTTGGCGCTTGGCAGACTGCCCAATCAACTCGAATCGCAATTTTGATCCCTCATATTAATGTACTTCCTGCAGGAGTTCCGCTCTTTTCGAACCCATTTTAAAGCAAACTGATCATCTTCGTCCCACAAAATCTTCAATATACAAATAACTCTATTAGCTAAACGATCTAAACTTCATTTCAAATAACTCAAACAACTATATCGAATAGCATTCCAACTCAAATTTTTTACCGTGTAACCAACCCTTGTGTCATTGACAAATATTGACATTGATTGCAAAGCGAACTCCCAAATCTTTTCTGCAGTGAACCACAGTAATGTGTTTCACAAATCTGCTACTTATAGCATCCGTGGGGTAGTGACGTTCAGTATCAAGGTTCTGGGTGCCAATAATGAGCACAAAGAGTAGTATAAAACGAGATGAGAAATGAGATGAAGACTCCAAATAAGATGTCATCCGAGAAATGGTTTTCAAGAAGGAGCTGAGTGAACAAATAGAAACACAATTCTGATAATTGTACAAAGCAACCAAGAATGCCTTGCATCCACATGACCTATCCTCTGGAAGAATGACAATCCTCATCTCTGGGTGATCTTTCCTGCTAATAATGTGCGTACAAAATTTCTTAGGTACGCAACCCTTGTAAGACCAGGGAAATCTTTAAAAAAAACCGCCAGGTATTTTGAGCAAAAATAAGCTGAGACACAACTCGAAGATCTATTCGATTCCCACTATGAGTCCATACCCAGTTTGCCAGAGGATGGAGGCATCCATCTTCCAGAATTGTATACATTTTCGCCCACCTTCCAGCCTGGCACATTAGCCATCACCTTAGCTTCCTCTTCTAAAAGCTTGTTATTTTCCCTAACAAACCTGCAAATAGGAATAACATAACACCATAAGCCATGAACCTACATAGAGGGCCAGATTTGCCTTTTCGATTCATAAAAATCAACATTTTGTATACAGAAAAAAAGGGGAAAAAAAGGGGAAAAAAAAAAAAAAAAAAAAAAGAGAGAGAGAGAGAGAGAGAGAAGAAGAAGAAGAAGAAGAAGACGACACCAGACTGATGACATGTGTGCAAACTCAGTGCCTTTCTTTGCATAAAATAAAGCCGTATATAGCTCGACGTGTACAAATTGCTATCGTTGAAGGAACACAAACGAGTCATGACAGCGAAAAAGTACTTGGCTTCAAGAATAAAGGACACCTGAGGACGAGTTATGATTTACGAGGGAAACAAGGCCTATATACACTTGTCAACACGGGTGATGAAGTGTAGTACCGTACTAATAGGGTAAATAGTACTTGTGAATCCTAGAATGTAGCAGTAATTAAAAAGCTAAAAGCTTAGAATTACATGATTACACTTCAATGAAGCCGTAAAACTAGAATTAAAAATGGAAGTTAAGATATCAAACCTTGCATCCTCCTCGGCTTGAATAAGAGGCAAAATAGCTTGTCTTGCTGCAATTTTCTCAGCCTTCAAACCCCTGTAATATGAGAAGACAAAAAAGTGTGGTTCAGAACACATGGACACAGTACAAACATTCTGGAGCATAGATACGAGCCCGTGTACACGCTACACAAATCATGAAATTCGCAATGAAGGTCCTCTCTCCCCTCGCATAGTAATTTTCAACCGAATTCCTACTGTCGTGACATCCAATTCAGACGAAAAAAGGCACCTGCGATAGATGTTGCCCTGGCCAACTTGGTACATTCCCCAGCTGATGATAGCTGAGGAGACAAGGAGCACGGTCACTCCACTAGGACCTGTATTGGCAATCCTTCGAGCGTATCGCACAGCAGGAAAGCCACCAGGAGGAGGTCCATCCTGCAACACGGACATCTCCTTTACGCTCGTCATCCCCTTATGGCCTCTAATAGTAGTCTCTGTCATCGTGACTTGATTTCTGCACGACACCGAAATCAACCCGCGAAACTCGAGCTCACAAACCCACGCACCACTAAAATGCCACAATGCCACACAGTAATCACCCCCCCCCCCTTGCCGCAACAAAGAGCTTTACAGGATTAAGAAATCAATTCTAACTTCAAGGGTCGGTCCACAAATTATCCAATCCCTGTCGTTGAGAACGGGTGGAATCTGATCTGCAAAACAGAGACAGCGAAGCTAACCCCGAGCGTGCAAGAGGAGCTGCGCAGTGCGTATGTGCAGGAGAAAAGGGTTTCTACGACGAGGCCTCTGCAGACTCAACGCGAATCCCCTCTAGGTCTGGCCTCGGTAGAGGAGGTCAGTTCCATCCGGAATCATGCATGCCCTCCATGCACGATCTGAGAATGTGTTGTGTTGTAGGCTACGCGTGAGCCCACACTATTTACTAGAATGTGGACTCTGGAATATTTTGCTTTCGAACCCGATTTGCATCTGGTTTTTAAAGTTTTTAAAAAGCATTCTTTCCTTAGAAGTTATCTCTTTGAAGAAATATTTGGGTTTCAATTGTATGTGTATATCTAACTATGTATGTGTATATAGTCATGAGATTTTGATGCATTACTATTCAATTCCAAGTCAGTCTTCAGTATATTTGAGGTAACTTTGTTTTTATGTTTTTGCAATATTTAATGTTTTTGAAAAAAAGAAAAAAGAAAAAATACCCAATTGTTAATTAACACATATTTACAATGTATTGAAGAGCAATTCTTAACTCACAATCTGTATAAGGTTTATTTTAAGATCATTTTTTATTTCTCTTATTTGATTTTGTTTTTATAACACATTTGACAACATTATGTGGTTTTTTGTTAAATTTGTACATTCTTTATTATAAATAATAATGTTTTGCAATCTTCTTTGAATTATTCTTCAATGATTATTTTAAGTTATAAATCAATTAATCAAACTAATAAATGCATTCTTTTTACAACTTTTGTAAAAGTTTTATAACATCCATATTGTTTCAAACAATTTTTAGTACAATTTTTGCATCGTATGAAATTATATCCAAGAATCATATATGTAAATTTAATAAAATAAAAAAAAGATTCAGTTCATATATATATATATATATATATATATATATATATATAAGGTATTTCTAATGCACTATAGTTTTACTATAATTGCCACAATTTGTCACCCACTCCACAAATTCTTTAGTTTTTTTTAGTTTAGTTTAGTTTTTTTAATTCAAATCAAAAATGTTGTTAGTATTTTTAATTATATAGTGAATAAAATTAATTTTAATAAATGTACATAAATTGTGGTGATAGTAGAAAAAATTGTAGTGGCATTAGTAACACCTAATATATCTGGATATGACAATATGTATGTATATACACACATACATACATAATTTAAGATAATAATAAATTCCAAAGAAATAAATAAGTCTTTCTGTTGACCAAGAAGCTATATACACTTTAAGTGAACATCTTTAGTACTTATATCATTTTTTTATATACATCTTTTAGTAGCAACCAATAATAGAATGAAATTGTTTAACATTTGAAATTTTTTTCATGTAGCAGTGTCATGATTTGAAAGTGTTTTAAGGCTCAACATATTTAATTTCACAAAATGATTGAAAAAGTTGAAGATTTTTACAAAAGACAAGATGTATCTAGGGCATGTATATAAGATTTGAATAAAAATGCATGGCAATAGTGAGATATGTGTGAAAATTATTTAAAAAAACATGTTGGCTATGCATGTATATATATCTATATATTTATGTACAAACTGTAAGAAATAAGAATGTATTTGTAAGTTTAAGCACATTGTGTGTTTAAAATATTTGTACCAAAACTAAGTTGTTACAGAACACATTAGAAGTCCCAGTCCAATGCAAAATATTTGGTTTCTCAATAATAATAATATGTAATCAAAACAATAATAGACGAGGAGTTGTGGATGTAGTGAAAACCAATCAGGACAAAAATCACATCTCAAGAATAAAAAGACGTATTCCTTGAACCACAATGATGCACATTCTGGAACGCTAAATCCCAAAAACAGTTATTTCGATACAAAGGATTGGAGATCCTGACCAAGAATTCAAATGAAATCGAAATAGCATAAAGGTATTGATTTAATGTTGTACAGACGTGGAGTAAGTTAACTACATATTGAATATAGTTAAATATAATTTATTGCCCTTGAGTCTTTAACCAAAATTAGTGTTTTTCATGCCAGTTGGACTTCCAGTGACTTTGTATGCGAAGTGCGATGAGAGATAGAGGAGAAAAAGAGCGGACAGCTCGACTCCTGAGTCCCCATCTGTTAAGAACTTTCACTACGCATCAGTTTTCTAACCGTGTTTAGGAATCGAGATCTAACATTGTCTTTCAGTACAAATGAGTTCTGGTTGGCAGCACATAAAACTTGCATAGTATCTCCTGTGGGCAAATGATGAACCATATAGAAAAATTCCAATCCTTAGGAGCAGCAACAATGCACTCCAAAGCTGCAGCAGTTGAAACCTCGTTCAGCCAACTTGTTGATCGTGGCATCATTCTCCACAGTTTCAGGAACAATGTTCGGCTTCTCAACAATCCTGCACGACTTTCTTCCCATCTCGGGTAGAATTTTGGAAAAAGCAGAGGGGGTGGATCATGAAGTCAAATCCGAACTAATAAAACTTGAAATAAGCAAAAAAATGGGTTGTGAATTCAAAGAGATAAAGAGACACCCACGGTTTGACAATGGGTTCAACGGATGGCATAATCTAACAAGTCAATGTAGCTAATTCAGTTCCTTCCACAAGATTTTGCACCTGAAAACCTAGGACTACGACGCACACTTGGGCTTCACAGCGTCATCAATGGCATTTAATTGCTGAATTAAACGCAAGAAGGAAGCATCAAAAGCTGCATGAAAATGCTAGATACATTAGAATTAGTGTGCCTGCACACATCACCATCGTTTGCGCAAATAATAGAATATGCTTGATACTTTTAGAAATCGAAGTAGCTTAAAAATACCCGGCTGAGACAAAGGTTCAATACACCTCGTGGTACTTCTGCTCTTTAATATCCTGCATGGTTCAAACAACTATTCTTTCCCACATCGACCTCTTCTCTCTCGAGATATGCTGTGTAACCTGAAAATTGAATCTCTCTCTCTCTCTCTCTCTCTCTCTCTCTCTCTCTATATATATATATATATATATGAAAAATGAAAAACAAAGTTGAGAAGTGCAAGCTAATGACCTAAAAACCATAGCCTCCACGGATGTAATCACTTGGATCCTAGTACGAGATGCTCTATGGCCACCAAAACATTCAGAGCACCGACCTATCCATTCCTTGAGACCTGAAGTTGATAAAAATATCCAGGGAACGTTCAATACATCGATGTACCAATGCAAGAGTAAAGAACGAAGGATCTAAGCGAGCTGCATGCTCTGCATGCAGCAGACTCGGTAGGCATCACCTCTCCTTCAACTCCGCCTCGAAGTCCTCGAGCTTCCGCCTAATCTTCGGCAAGAACATATCCATCAGCGTCTGCTTCACCCTCTTTCTCTGCACCGAATCCTTGATATCCGACGCACTAACTATAACGTCCAGCTCTAGATCATCAAGCTCGCCATAACACGCCTCTGGCACCTTCATCTTCCCTTCGAAATCTTTCTTCTCCTCGCCTTGCTTCACATTCGCCGAATACTTCATCTCAATCTCCAACGTATATCCCACCTTCTTCTTCTGCCGCACAGTGATCAGCGATGCGTCGCCACTGCACGTCGTCACCTCCACAACCCTAGCTGTGCCTCCCTCAAACTCCACGGGCTCCACTGTCGGCAGCAGCTCCTTCACCCGATTCCAAGCCCACGAACTCAACACCTTCTCCTCCCACGTCCCAGCCTGATTCCAAGTGGATCCCAAACAAGCTGGCTTCCCATTCCCCGCCAGTTCTTCCGCCGTCAGCTTGTACGGCACAGGTTCAGGGGCCGCACCCTGCATAGTCCCTCTCACCCAATACCTATACCCAGAGGTCTTCGACGTCCTCTCCTCGCCCCCCTCCTTCATTTCTCCCATCTCCTCCTCCTGCTTCTCCTTGGCCATTACCCTAACCTAATATCGCACTCGCCGAAGCGAGAGCTCCAAAACCTCCCGCCGTCGCAACAAGGGTCTGTAATAGGATATACCAGGGGTAAGGGAGTGTTTCTATGCAACGACAGAGGGTGAGAATGGTGGAGCAGAATGGAGTAGAGTAGAGGAGAAGCGCAGCAAAGTGATGGCGATCCTCCTCCACCTTCAAGCGCAGCAAAGTGATGGCGATCCTCCTCCACCTTCAAGCGCAGCAAAGTGATGGCGATCCTCCTCCACCTTCAAGCGCAGCAAACAAGTGGACTTGTGTTGGCGCTTGCAGCGAGCTACGAACTCTGCCTAGCCCCCACCGCCACCCCCCCCCTCCAGGGATGGATGTATTCTCCAAAGATGAATGTGTGATCGAATGGACGAATAATGTATATCGTTACATTTGGCTCTGCAAGTTTTCATTCATCTCTTTCCTATGGTTTCGTAAATTACTGCAAGTTTTCATTCATCTCTTTCCTATGGTTTCGTAAATTACTGCAAGTTTTCATTCATCTCTTTCCTATGGTTTCGTAAATTACTGCAAGTTTTTCTTAGGTTTGTGGGCTGCCCGTTTCGAACCTGCCCGCAGTTTTGAGCTACTGCCCGATGGAGTGGGTTGCGCTCCATGTCCCGGTGTTCGTTTCCGAAGAAGCCTTTGAATGGTGTCCTCAAATGCGAAACTAGTTATGCATCACAGATCGTAAGTGCAAGCAAATGTTCCATTCCACACATGCTAGAGGGACATCACTAATCTAGTAGCAGACTCATGTGAGAGGGTTGACTCATTCCATGTGTCTAATGCTTACTGTGAAAGAATAGGGTGAATTCATGTTTTGTTTTTAGTGCTCAATGCTAGGAAGTTCGAAGATAAACCATGTAAATCTCCAGTTGCAGTTGAATTGAGTTAGAGTGAATGTAACACGCATGCTAAAATAGGACAATAGGAAACAAAAAAGTTGAGCGGAATTTCGATGGGCTCTTTAATTAACACGTTACAACTAATATGTGAGAACATCTACATAGTACACCGCAATCTGGATCTATAGATCAGTGGCATTTTGCTGCCATAGGTTGATGATATCAGTGGCTTGGTTGAGTAGGATGATGGTCCTCTTCCTAGAAATCCAGCCCTTGCTGTCAAGCTTTGCTTTGAGTTCCTCCCATGCGTCCTTGCGTGGCCAGAAGAAGTAGGGGCTGAGGGGCACAGTTCCATGGCCAGGAACAACCTGGTCAAGTCCAATACCGATGTTCTTCTCCAGCCACAAGAACCGGAGCAAAACCCTCTGCTTCTTCGGCGCAGCTACGGCTACCTTTTTCTGCGAATCAAACTTGAAGAATGAGAATGCGATGACGTTAAAGTGGATATTACACAAAGGAATGCAACAGATGCACAGTGGTGATGGTAAAATTCATTGACAGTGTCTTTGCCCTTACTAAGAACTATTGTCTATGATTTTTTTTTCTGCTGAGAATCTTCTCGTAGTTCGTCACTTGATTATATAATCACAGAGTTCAAAGGGACGTCAAAAAAAAAACTTAAGGAGTCAATATCCTGATGACACTTACACAGGATAACTATCAAAAGAGGTATTAGAATAGACAACATGGATTCATTCCATCCTCTCACATTACTTCTACACGGACATTGCATGGCTGCACACTGGAATCTCTAAAATTAGGAAATGAGAGTTAGACATTAATCAAGTGACGAACTTCGAGGTCACTACGTCCAGACTACTCGTAACTTCACTAATGATGTTTTGACCTTCCTAAATTGGCATCTCCAGAGACATGAAGAAGCTGAGACAAATCGCTCTATAACAGAGGATCAGAGAAATCAAATCAGCTCGACCCACATTCACCTAACCACTCGTTAATAGGGCGTTTCGAAAGGGCACAGGTAGCCACAATGCAGCTGCAAGGATCTTCTGAGTTAATCCCAATAGATAACAAAACACTTTCGCAGCGAACAGCAGAAAGTTCTCTAACCATGCACCAATAAGAGGAAGTCACGCCATGGCCACATTACAGAGACAAGTTAGGCCATTTCTCATGAATCACATTGCCTTACCGGATTCAGCCCTTGCAGTCACAACTCCTTACAAAATTCAACACCGCTCTAATCATATAAAACACTCCAATACCTTCTTGCCAGAGCCCTGGGGCTTGTTCAAGACCATTTCGCTCTCAGCAGCTTCCGCGGACGCCTTCACGGACAGTCTCTGCATCCGGCTTTGCAGAAACTCCACTCCATCATCCTGGCGCCTCCTGCAAACTCTAAGAGGCTTCGCAACCACGGCAGCGCCCTGGAATGCCAAGCTGCGAGAGGACCCCACAGCGCAACTGGCAGAAGCAGAAGAAGCAGGCGCCCATTGCACCGCTGCCACCGTCCCCGCGCAACCCACTGCCGCCATTGCTCCCCCAAAGCTTCCTGCTCACAAAACCCCGCAGAATTCAGGTCACAATCCCAGAGCTCCTCAATGCCAAAGACACAATCCCGGAAGCTCTAGACAACCACCACAATGACATCGGCCCTCCCAATCTCTTCCAATCCACGGCTAAGGGGTCCCCTTCCGCGGCTGCACACGGCCCCTATCCACATCCGCGGTCACAGTCTCTCCCCATATCCGTGTATAGCTAATTGAGGCTCTTCAACTCCCGCACTGAGAAAGTGTAAATCGGTGAGGGAGTTGAAGAGCCTCAATTAGCTATACAACTTACCATGATAGTTCAACAGTTCTGTTGATTATGCTGCCCACGTTGTTCCTAAGCCCTAGGCTAAGCGTCCCATTACAGAGAATCTTAGTTCCACACCCATGTGTCACCGTGTCAACCTACGTAGTGAATGCCGGGAATTCGTGCAGAGCACAAGTCCTGACAGCAACAATCTGATTAGAAGCTATCAACAGGTCTACAGCATGGTGAGGCTTTGGCAAACAGCACCCCCGGCACAATATATTTTTATCATGATCTATTGTTATAATCCCCGATTTCTCAGCTCTTAACACACACCCAAACCACAACATCTGGAACTGCAATCCTTTTAAACCTTGAATTTCTTTGTCGTTACTTTTGATTTATGTTATTGGACATGATCATGCCGACCCGAGTAGTGATTCTGCAAAGGCGTGAGTTGCAGCAAGACAAATATTTACAAGACCTTGTGGTGAAGTATGGTCTTGGCAGCAAGGATAAGGTACTAGGCACATCAATAATCTCAGCAACCACCACATCTCCTTGAGGATTCAGGCTATTAGCCATGCTTTGGGTTGCAGGATAGAATTGGTTAACACACACACACAAACACACACAGAGGAATAGCTAGATTATTGAAGTTGTTTGGTTTGCAACGTTGGATGCTGGTTGAATTGCACTCAAATCGGTGTGCCATGTTCAAGAATCTGATGCATGTAAGTGATGTTCTGGCAGGCTACTAGACTCCTCCTTGATTACGTGATGGCGTCAACAAATGAAGCGACCATTTTCAAGGTGAAGCGTTGCAGAAACTGCAACAGCTGAGAATGTTCAAAACGAGATGTATGGCTCACAATCCGCTCTTATCAGCAGATCGATCCTGATCGGTTTATGAGCCTAAAATCAACTGTACAGAAGCAGTGGCTCGTGTGTATATCTTTATTACCAATACAGCCTTGTCTTTTTTGTTGTAACTAGCAGGAAAAAACTGATAAACAAGTGCATGGTATTAAAGTGAGCTTGTTGCTTGACCAGAGTACTACATATAATTATAATAGTTATCAGGTAAGAAGTTTGGCTTTTATAGTTCACTTACAGACTTTCTCTTCCCCGATCCCTTCATTTACAAAAGATGGGTACTTAAGACAGATTATCCGATCAACACATTGCCTTTGTCTGACACCGCTGCACGTGTAGGTATTGTGCTCCACTTGGTTTTAAATTTATTAGAAAGACGAGTGATTCTGAACTGGTTGCTGTTGACTAAGCATGCAAGAAAGGGAGCATGATTTCTTGGTTTTCAGTGTTAACAGTATTGAAGTGACTTCGGCAAAGATTGTCTAATGTAGCCAAAACAAATGAGATACTTGTGTACTCAGCAACAAGCATAATAATTTTATTGTGAAGCATTCTTGCAAGAGGTGTAGAATATATATATATATATATATATATATATATAAATATATAATTAGTTTAAGTTATTATGTGATGCTATAAATGTATCAAATCATTTCTAATTCTATTTAGTATTTGATCAAGAAAAAATTGTTTTGTTAAAGCTATAATGGTTGCTTGATGAATTTAATAACTTTAAAATTTGTAAGCTTAGATTTTAGCGATGACATTAGACATAAAAATACTACAGACATAAAAATTGTAAGTAAATTCTATTTTTAGCACCATATCTGGTAAAAATCTTCTATTATTATAACTATTTCTATTATTAGTTAATTACTATTTAGTAACATCAATGATTTTTTTTATTTGCATATAATTTAAAAGTTGAGTTAACAAATTTTTTGTAGAAAATAGTTGTGTTTTGATATTTGATAAAATTTTATCTTAAATAATTCTCTCTAGTGCTAATTTTAGTTTAATCAATTTATAAATATAATTTGTAAAATCTAAATATAAAAAATAAACTTCATGTCTTTTTAAGATCATAATATTATTTGTTTCTACATATGATAATCAAACTTTTATTTTTAAATGTAAATTCATAGTATAAATTAATATTTTTATGTATAAACATATTAGACAGTGTATTAAAGTTAGAAGTTATATCTTTATATTTCTATTCAATAAACAAGATAAAATAAAATACAAAACATAAAAAACAAATAACAATTAAATTTTGTTAGGAATTATTACACATAGTTTCTAATACAAATAATATCTTTATGTTTATGTATTTTAGATTTTTAAAAAAATTGAGATATAAGATTTGGATTCCAAGTTTAGAATTTTAAAATAAAAATGTTATCTAATAGAATTTTGACATATTTTGAAAAAAAATGTGTAGACTTAACTCTTTAATCTGTAATACTTGTAATATTAGTCATATAAATTTAAATTTTAGAATATGTTTAGAGAATATGTAAATGAAAAATTTTAAAATTTTAAAATTTTAAAAACAAGACTTTAAAATAAAAGTATAAATGTGTATATTAGTATTTTTTTTAAAAAGTAGTTCTACCCTTAAACTTGTTTTAACTAGGAATATAAAATGGTTAGTTTGTAGTAGTTTGTTTCACACTTGACATAGAATGTCCAATTTCGTCATTTGTATATTTGTTTTAGAAACGAAAAACTAATTAAAATCTTTATTTATTTATACTTTGCATAAAGTTTCTTGTGTACAATTGTAAAGTGTCCAATTATAATACATTGTGTAGTGTTAAACTATATTTTTAACAACAAAAAAAACTTTGAGTTATTTTATATTAAAAATAATAGTAAAAAAATGGTTTTATAAAAAAAAATTATAATAATTTTATGTAGATTTGGAATTAGACATGTATTAAGATTCAAAATTATATGAAAGTATCTTGTATTTCAATTACTAATAAGTTCAAAATTTAAAAACTAATCTTTAATCTAGATTTTTTAAATTAATATTGAATAAAATTAAATAAATATAAAAAGATAAAAAATTTAAAATATTAAAATAATATATATAAAATCTTCATTATTTGGATTTAAAGTTATAATATGTGTTTTTAAAGCCAATTTTGATAAAATTTATCCATAACAAATAAAATATCTAAGTTAGATTTTGTAATCTTATTTAATCTATATAAACGTAAAAATATTTATTTCTCATAGAATAAATTTCATTTGTAATTTATAAACAAACATTAATAATATTTTTTTTTGTAATATTTTTTTTTTATTGTGTCCATAAAATAGAAAAGAAAGTTATGCTATACTTCTACAAAATAAAAACACTAATACTTTGTATTTTTATTTTTATTCATTTATAAATATATTTAAAAAATATCTATTAAAGAGTAATTAAATTATTTTACAGAAGAAACTAACTAAGAAGCAAAGAAATAAAGATTCACTTAATTTTGCAGCATATTGAATATTATAATATTAGATGCATGTTGCAAAAATTTCTCTTTAAGTTGCTATGAAAAGTACTTGCATAGTAGCAAATGTAAGAATTATGATTGCTTGAAAAATCAAGTGGTTTTTTTATAATTTTTAAAAATCTACAAAAATACTTTGAAGACATTTGCAAGCATTCTTAAAATTATTATTTACACTAAAATTCTATATTTATTATAGAAAATAAATTTGGACTATATAAGGTTATAAAGATTAAAAAATAAAATGCCAAAATCCTATTAGTATGGTCTTAGTAACTCATCTTTTCATTATAGAGGTTTGAATTATAATGCTATATTGAATATAGTCACAAAAATTTATTTGATCATCCTTTGTAAGATTAAGATCTCCTAAGTATCATCAACCAATATAAACTTGTATTTTGCTTGAATCTCTTCTTATATGCAACTATTAAAGTGTATATGACAAATAATTAATAGATGTGCAAAATACCACTATAACCATTTTGCTTCTAAAATATCAATTTTAAAACATATAAATACATTAAAGAAATAAAATAAAATAAAAAACAAAACAAAACAAAACAAAACAAAACAAATACATCTTTTATCATTATTTCTTCAAATTAATATTTCATATTGTATATGCAAATTAAGGAACATATATTAGTTAGAAGTAGTATTAAGGTCTATATATACAAGGAATTACATGTTATAGAAGTAGATCATTAGATTGTTGTGTTTGTAAGCAAAGAATTTGTTAAGATTGTTGGAAATCAAAATACTCATATCAATATAGATAGATGTAAGTATCACGATAGATGACTAATAAGTTAGTTTAGATAATGATGTAAAGATCCTTATGTTGCGCACCTAAGATAACCACATCCACTTGTGATGGTATTATCCATCCAAGAAGTATGTACCCATCTTTGGATAATATGTGCTAAAGCACTCCAACAGTACAGTGTCAAAGGAGCAATAACCAAGGAGATAAGATGTTATTACAAGGTCGTCAAAATTAATATTCGTGTTGATAAGTTATGCAAATAATTTTGTCAAGGGCATTAGGTATTACAGACATACAAGGGTGTAGTGACCTTTTGATTCATTGTAGATTTTAAATTTCTATAAATATACCATGTGGCTATCAAAACTTATCTTAGAATTTTTTTTAATTTTAAGAAGTTGCATTAAAAGAAACATCTAAGTTAATGTTTTAGCCACAAGTTTATGGTCTTTAAAAAGCTTCTATAAAGCATTTTTGGTAGCTAATATATATATAAATATATATTCATAGGTAAAAATGAGGCTATCCTTAATCTTATGAATGTTTTCTTTTATATCTTAGTCTTCATTCAAGACTCTCTAGTTTCATTTTGTTTGGGAGTAGTTTTTATTTTTTTTTATTTTTTAATCTTATATCTATCTCTTCTTTACAATAATACAAAAATATATCATCATTGTAGAATGTTGTCTAAAGTCAAGTCTTTGACACAAAATTCACTTAGAAGAGTTTATCATGTCATATTAAATACATAACATTTATTTCTCTCACTGTTCAAAGCAATCCAATGTCAAGAATACAATATAAATGAAATTCTCTTTTTACCACAAAGATAAATTAAACTAGATAGTATTTAACCAATTAATTGTGTTTTTGATATACATAGTAGTTGCAAAATATACTTCATTGTTGCAATAAAAAAAAAAAAAAAAAAAAAAAAAAAACATGGCACTTTTATCCACCATCATCTTCTTTAAAGAATTAAGCAACAACAAGAACAAAGCAATAAGAGAGTTGAGTGGCAAAGCAAGCAACATAGTAACCACTCTTTCTAACTACCTCTTTTTATTATAGTTATATATTAATAATATATATATATATATATATATATATATATATCTACTTTCTATCCTCCTATTATTCTAATATATAAAATCATCTTATAATTAAGTACAAATTCATCTTTTCTTTTTAATAAGCTCTATTTTCTAATAAATCACACAATTATTCATTCATACTAACTTTTTTAATTTTAATTTAATTTTCTACTTAATTATTATCTAGATTTGAGACCCTATAATGATTTATTGTAACATAGTCTATTCAACAACCTTGGTACATCATCAAACATAAAATAATAGCAGCACAACTACATAATAAATAATTTATTGAGAGATTAATATCTATTTTAGAGCTTCTCTATCTATTATATTAGTTTAAGTCTTGACTTGCTTAGTAATTATGGATGACAAGCAAGGAGAAAGCTAGACAAAACTTAGATTAATATAAGATTACAATCCAAAGTTAGTAGCTAGCAAGTTTGGTACCAATATCTAAGGCTTTTAATGGTTTTAGACTTGTCTCGAGTTTGATTGTGGCCACTTGCACAATAAACAATTAATGCTATATTTATGTTTTGATCCCTCATGTCAATGTTGAATCACTTCTCTCTAGCACTATACTTTAGTCCCCCTATTGCTCTCATCAAGGCCTCTTGCCTTGCTCCCCTCAGCTCTAAGTTTTAGATTTTGTGTGTGGATGCATTGCTCTCACCAAGGCCTCTTGCCTTGCTCCCATCAGCTCTAAGTTTTAGATTTTGTGTGTGGATGCATTGCTCTCACCAAGGCCTCTTGCCTTGCTCCCCTCAGCTCTAAGTTTTAGATTTTGTGTGTGGATGCATTGCTCTCACCAAGGCCTCTTGCCTTGCTCCCATCAGCTCTAAGTTTTAGATTTTGTGTGTGGATGCATTGCTCTCACCAAGGCCTCTTGCCTTGCTCCCCTCAGCTCTAAGTTTTAGATTTTGTGTGTGGATGCATTGCTCTCACCAAGGCCTCTTGCCTTGCTCCCATCAGCCCTAAGTTTTAGATTTTGTGTGTGGATGCATTGCTCTCACCAAGGCCTCTTGCCTTGCTCCCATCAGCCCTAAGTTTTAGATTTTGTGTGTGGATGCATTGCTCTCACCAAGGCCTCTTGCCTTGCTCCCATCAGCTCTAAGTTTTAGATTTTGTGTGTGATGCAGGAAGTGCATGCATATAATTTATTTTTGGTTAAAATTACCCAAAATTCATTCGTATATATATTTTAAAAAATAAAAAATAAAAACCATGGTACAAGCTGCTTATCTAATCCTCTGTGGCTGTGTAAATAGGGGCTTTTTCTCAGCTAATACTAGTAATCAATATGAACCAATTTCAAAACGAGAAAGAAAGCAGTCTACTGCAATCGATCCGTTTCACACACTGGGTCGGGTAGCTGTGTGTCTTGCTCAAACCCTAAATAAATCCTAAAGCTCCCAGGAAACAGCACAAATGCCTTTTTTGTGAGTATTCTTACTTTTCTCACTAAAAAGGCAGGGCAAATGACAAAAAGGCGAGGATAATCTGCACATAAAAGGAGCAACGAACACAGAGAGAGCAAGAGTGCTACTTGGTTGTTATTCTATTCCTAAATGTTGTGTTTCCTTAAACCCTAAGCCCTGATTTGAGATTATCTGATACCTCCCACATTTTAGCCCTGCTTCTTCTCTCGACGCCAAGTATGTTGTGCCGATTCGGCACAACATCTGAATCTCCGTGAGTTGGAGTTTCTCCTCACTGTATTAGACATCCATTGTGTCGTTTCTGCTTGTGAGCTGAGGAAAGCTTCGTGTGAGGTAGTGGTCTTAATAGCAGTGATCACTACATCAATGTTTATCAGCGCTTTGTGAATTGATCTTCTTACAATGCCCCGTGATTGGAGTTGTGCCAAGTCTTAGCAACCAAGTGGCTGTCGGAGATTCTCGTTTGGACATTGTAGGGTTTTGGGGGAAAGAGGTGGTTTATTTTTTATGTTTTGGGGAAGAGGTGGCTTTTTTTGATTAGGCGGCGATGAGTATGGAGTTGTACAGCAAATCTGTGCGGATTCGCCTCTGTTTTGAGGAGCCGGGGATGTTGAGAAAGGCCCAGGTGGATCAAGGACTAGCCAAGTCCTGGTACCTGATCAACGCAGATGTATTGAGCGTTGGACAACTCGCTGCGCGAATAGAACATGACTACCGTCTGCGAGTAACCTGTCCTCATGGGATAGTGCTCGAGGTGAGACATCGTTGGATCTTCGCGTTGAGTGAGTGATTTTGGGGAGCTTGAAAGTTTCCAACGCAAGTCAGGATCTAATGTTGGCAAATTCGATGCGAATTGATTGATTAGGTCGTTGTGATTGTTTACAGATGTGCGATTTTGTTCTACCTCCTGCACAATCGACTCGGATTCTTCAGGATTTTGATCTTGTCAGGTCTGGCATCATCCACACTTTCCATGCAAACCCTAAATCTTGCATGAACTTGTCAGTTGACGAAGACTGAGACAATGCACAATTGAGGATGGTCCTGCTGATCGCCTGCTGAGTGCCTGGAACAGATGAGCAAACGCTCATTGCATTTTGGATGTTGTGTGATGTCTATCATGATCATCAGCTAAATTTTGGTTGGCCATGTGCAGTGTGAGGCGCAAACAGGATGGGGTCTCAAGAGAACAGTCAAAGGAGCTGGCCACTAATAGTGTAAGCATAGATGGTGAGGAAGTAGGGCTGCTTCTGGCGCCTGATGAATTTGAAAAGGAGGAAGGAGGTTACCAGAGTGAGCATTCAGGGGATGAAGATTCGGAGTTCTCATTTGGTTCTGGGAAAAAAGTGAAAGGGGACGCGAATGGACTGAAGAAGTTAAGGGCGAAAGAGTCAAGCGGGAAGAAGCGGAAGCGACCTATTCAAACGTGAGTGCTCAATTTATGAATAGACCTAACAATGCACGAGCAAGGAGGTTCATGCTTCTTTGACTTGTGCAGCTTTCCTTTGCTGAGCCTTCTGCATCCAATTCCTATCTTTCTTAGGCCCTGAATTCCAAAGGATATAAGAGTTCTTGAATCGCAGAGTCAAGAGAACAGTGATTTTGACAATGACATTTGATTGCAGGCAAGACAATATCTTTGTTTCACCCCCTAAGTCAGAAAAGAAAACAAAAAAATTACAATTGGAACCCTCGGAGCGTAATAAGCAGAAGTCATCGGGGAAGAAAAAACGGAATAAACTCGGGCATGGTGACCAAGGAAGCAGCGAGATTTTGCCTCTTCAGCTGGACATGCCTGAAGCCTTGCCCAGATCAGAGCCCATTGATGATGTTCCTGCAAAAGCTAAGAAAAAGAAAAAGAGAGAGTTGGCAGAGCAGACCGGCATAGATACAAATACCAGAGACAGAAGTGAACCAAAAGAGATTGCACTTGAAGCAAGGCCTAGTAAAGAAAGGTACCTTAATTGAGCTTTGATGTTCAATTTTCTTCAGACCTCAATTTCGTATTTAGGAAGTGCTCAAATTGTAATGGATGCTATACTAGCGGATGAAGTCAGTATAGTCCCATGAGACAGTCCCTTGCTCGCTGATCATGCCTTTTTCTTGACTCAGCTATTGTTGTGTTGTATGCAGCTTCTAACAAGCTATTCGCTTGTTTCTTTTCTCAGGAAAGTCAAGTCTAGGAAGGAAACTGAAGACCTGGAACGACCTCATATGAAGGCTGTGAGTGAAGAGGGAACCCATCATCGAAGTAGTAGAAGACATGGGGATGAGTTGGATGCTGCAATAGAATCAAGACTACAGAAGTTGACACCAGAGGCAGGGCGTGAAGGGAAGAAATCCAGGAAGCGTCAAGATGCTAATCTAGTTAACTATGATCAGGAGTCTCCGCCGAAGAAGAGGTAATGATAATGGTGACGGTTTGCAAAACGTTGACCAGAGCTAGAATACTACCTGGGATTCTACTGCTGCGGTTGGAAGTTCTTAGTGCCATTCATATCAAACCATAAGGTGCAAAGTTCTGAATTAGATTTAGGGCTGACAAAGTGGCGTAATGTAGTATAAAAGTTGATGGGAACTTGTTTAAAAGGTGTGATCATGGCGTGTAAGTACTTCTGCTTTTGTTGTTGGATATGATACTCAAGTTCCTATAGACTAAGTTGAAAATCAAATATGTGGTATTGGTGTTGGCAGTGAAGTTAAAGGGAAAGGTGGCAACGATAGCCATCCTGAACAGTCTGATGCTTTAGAGAAGGTTGGGCTTTTCAACTTCTCCATATTGTCGAACCTCTTCGAAATAGCTTTGTGGATGTCTCATTGATGAAAGGGTTAGACTGAGATTTGAACGAGAAGATACTGAATCTTATGTTTGATGTTCATCGCGATTCATCAGCGGCCTAGTCAACTTCAAGTAGTTATTTTACATGTAAAACAGATGGAGCCATATTGATTTGATGAAAGTAAAGTTAGGTGGATTCCTGCTTTGATGTTTTGGCAGAGGCCCAGCAGGAGTGCACGAAGGAAAAAAGCTAAAAGGAGGTGGCTACGCGAACAGGCACAGGTTAGCTTCTGTTTTACCATGTTAATTTGGAGGCACATGCATGTATACGTTGTGTCATCCAGAAATGATTTAGTTAGCTATCTTTTATTTTTCCAGTATTACGAGTATTGTTTGTTTGCTGCCTCTAATTCATGAATTAGCATTTTTTTAGCAATAAACTCTGGTGCTCAGGACTAGAATTGTAATGGATTGAATGTCGTTCGTGCATGGCTTCGAGTTCAAACGTGAAGTTACCTGAAGAGGCATCCTATTCTCTTCTGTAGCCACTCAGAAATGTTAACGGTATGCATTTACAGTTGCAAAATAATGCATCTTCAAAGAAGGATGACATCAAGGCAATTCAGACACAGAATACAAAGCCACCCGATACCAGCGATTCTGGATATTCAGAGGAGGATTCAGAGGTAGAAGAGGCATCAGCAGAAGAGGAAATCCTGCCTAGAGTGGTTGCTCCGGGCCATATCCGTTTTGACCATTATGAAGGTAGTTGCACTATCATTGATTATACCCTGTAGTCTGTGTGTTCAGTCTATTCTATTTTGATTCGTTCACTAAATGCTCTTCCAATCCCTCTTTTCCTTGCTCAATACTGATGTTTATGGATTCAAATTAGCTGGAGCCGATTCAACGTCAGTGTGTTAATGCATTTCGTCTATTGTTAGCTTCACCTTACACACCTAGCCTAATATCTGCCTAATCTTACCGTAGTTGTATCTCTTGCGCACGTCTTAATTTATTGCTCCATGCTGCAGATGAAAGAGATGAAGGACATTGCACTGCGGTAAGCTTTCTCAATTCTGTAAAGTACAAGATTGGCGGATCTTCATTTATAAATAATGTACAGAACCTGTCTAAAAGCAAAGAGGTTTACTTTTGAATATCTTTTGCTGAAGCTAGCTGAAGAATTTATTGTATTTGAAATATGTAGAGTATGTTCTTGATGACATCTTTACACATTGGTAAATTGGTTGACTTTCTCTAGAGGTCTTAGAGTACATTATTTGTAGTTCAAGAAGTCCAAATTTCAAGTGTTGATGATATATTATTCATTCATTTGCAGACTGTTGCGCTTTCATATCCTCAAGTTAAATGCAAGCAACAAGGCCAAGCCTGGGGTCAAGAAAAATCTCAGAGCAAAAAATCTGAAGGTGGTCACTACAGAAATGGTGAAAAGTTTGAGAATAGATCTTCGGAGGGAACGATGGAACAAATAGACCAGGCCAATGTTGTTGCACATGAGATCAATTTTGAAAATCTTCCTGTTCTTAATCGTGATCCTAGGGTATGCACCTCGTCCTTGTTGCTGAGATGACTTCCTTTTTTCTATTCATCAATTGATGGTTGCGCCCTGCTCTCAACGTACGCCTCCTGTGTCGTCAAGATTGAGATTAAGGCCTTATGGAGTATAAGTTTTCTTTGTCCCTAGTAAACTCTGTGTGCAGTCGAGTGAAATTGTGTATCTGAGAAAGGAATATGTCTGCTAGTTTAATAGGCATTCTTTTTTCTTATGAGGATTCTTTGGAGTAGTGTCTTTTGATGGGATTATCTGAAGTGAGACGAATCGGCATCTTTTGCCAGATAGGTGATGTTCTGGCTTATCGATTGGTGGAGCTGACAGCTTCTTGGACTCCTGAACTTTCTAGTTACAGGGTAAGCTTTCTGTTTGTTTCTCTGCCCTTTCTTTGCTAGCAATCCGTAAATTTCTGTTCCAACTTATGTTACAGGCGGGTATCTCCAACTAGCATCATTGCATTTCCCAGTTCCTCTTTGATCGAATGTCAAGTATAATGGTTTTATGATTATACATCCCCCCCCCCCTCTCTCTCTCTCTCGCTCGCTCGCTCTCTGATATATTTTGAGTATTAATTGAACATGTGTATGTGCCGCGCTTTGATACCATGTTTCCTATTTTATTACTTGGTCACAACTTAAAGTCCGGAATTCTGCAATGGTCTGAGAATTTGAGTTTTTCCAGGTTGGGAAAGTTACCGTGTATGATGGTGCAAGTAAGATGACAACTCTGATAGCAGTACCAGAGTACCCTTTACATGTACGTCAGTCTGAAGGTGTTGAAGAGAACGAACAACAGGACGAGGACTTGTTGCCACCTTACAACCCGGATGGCTCTTTGGAGGTCCGTCTAAAGTATCCACTTCATAATTTTTGCAAAGAATTACTCTTCCTTGTATGAGCTATGTTCACTTAGATACAAAGTCTCTGCAAAGACTCGGTTCATATTCTTGCTGCCTACACAATGTAGATTGGCCATTGTGCTGCGATTTTTTCTGTGTTCTATTTATTGGAGGTTGAAATTGACATCTTTGTCGTTTCCAGGTCCACCTTACTACACTCGTGGATCTTAAAGTCCTGAAAGAAGGGCCAGTTAGTAGCTCAAGTGCTGTTCAACCCAAATCTGCTGCACGGAAGCCTCTCGATGTCGGTACAGCTGATGTTGGCGTTTCAACAGAGCCGCTTCAACCTACAACCCTGTCAAATAAGGTCCTTCAAAAGCATGCAGAACCTGCTGCACACATCAATTTGAATAAACAATCTGTTGCACTCAGCTCACAGAGTAATCAAGGGGAGTTCAGTGCTGCAGGTAATGTAGTGGAGATGAGACCTTTGCCCACAGAACCAGAATCGGTGTTGAATCAACCAACTAATGCAGGTACTAAAAGTTCAATGTGAGGGTTTGTAGTTGTGTACCCATCTTAGTGATTAGTAGTGCAATATTTTGTAGTAATTGGTGTTACATGTATGACGGGGAGTAGCTTGATGATTTTCTTTATCTTTCCGAATGGAACCCTCTGTTGACTTTTGAATTAGCTCGGCTTTGACCTGACGAGTTTCATTTATTGACATGCGACCTACTGGCTGCCTTAGCCTTTAGACTCCTTGCCAGAGATTTCCTTCATTTCCATAAATTTACTGTCGTGAATGGGTCAAACTTTTTGTTACATAGTCTAGCTTTTTTGTGGTGCAGAGTGGCAAGACATGCTCTCAGAAGCGATCAACAGAAAAAGGAAAGAGCTTTCTTTGAAAGAATTGGGAGGATCGGAAGGTTTAGCACCTGCTGGTGATGTGAAGAGCAATTTGGGCAACCCCGTAGCACGTGGAGAAGGTGGCAAGAGACAATCTCAGACGAATGGGACTCCAATCATTCGACATCGCCACATGCGGACAGGCGCTTTAGGGCCTACTATGGCCCTACTACGGGCTAATCAGATTTTGTAGGATTCTAAGTTGGAGATTTGAACAGCGGGAGCAAGTATGAACAACTCAGTTGAATCCATTGTCTCTAGTTAGTGCATTTCTCATTCTGATGATAATGGGAATTTTGATCATTCGCTGAGCTCACAGCTTTCAACAATACATTGGACGATGCGATTGAGCAACTCCTATGATTCAGAGGATCCTGTCGATCTGACTAGGAGAATTACCCTGTTTTTTCTTTTTCTTTTTCTTTATTTTCTTTTCCTTCTTTAGACATAGTTGTTTGGTCAAGTGTCTCGTTTCTCATCTTCCGACTGGATATAGATACGCTCGTTTCTCTGCAAAGGATAGGCAGAGCTATGTCATCAGAAATGCAGTAGATGCAGCCACTTGAGCACTAACGAGCATCAGCATCTATAAATGAACGATTGTAGCATCGAGTGTCCCGTCTAACTGTCATCAGTTTCTTGTCAAGTGGAGTACGAGAACAATGTCAGCACTTGGTGTGGCATTAGCCCCACAGGTTGGAAATCACCTACCATTCCCTTGGACACACAATTATGTTTCCAATCTCCAGCACATTCGCCTCATGCTTAGCTTCTCATATGAGGGTTTCTCTCCACCCTACTGTTTTCAACCAGAACCGAGGCAGACTTTTCACAGTACCCAACACCATCCAACATTCTCTGCACCGTTTGCACGCCAACCACGATTCCAACACGTCTTTATACACCTTTCTCAAGCTCCAAAAGTGCCACCCCACAAACTCAAAACCCATGTCTGAACCTTGTGAGCAGTGAAAGCATGAGAAGCACAGTATTTGAAGGACATTGTGCATCACATTCTCCATCAAAGCCTTCAAACCTCGAACCCCCCCAAAAGTATGGCCTGCAGGTTAGAGACCCTTCTTCATCTAGCAGGTTGCTGGTTAACGATTAATCAGCAACGGAGCAGTGTTATCGGTATAACATCCAAGGTCAACAGGGTCAACGTGGGACATGCATAACACGTTCTTTTATTAAGATTAGAGCACAACAAGATCAGGATGTTTATATATATATATATATATATATAGAGAGAGAGAGAGAGAGAGTTCGAGATTGCTAGCAAAAGAGGATGAACAGTCTTTATTATTACCCTCCAGCTTCTCATGAATTTGGGTCATTCCTGTTTTAAAATGGGGATCTGGTAGTGTTGTTGAGGTGCTCTATTTTCAAACTAAGAGCGAAGCTGCACGCTTAAGTATGGAGGTGGAGAACCACACTTGAATTAGAGTCCAAACCTTCTCATCAAGCTCCAGTGTTTATATTGGTGAGTGAGTGCAAAAGAAAGTATAAATACAGAGAGAATGATAATCATTTAGCATTATTATGATACATTAGCAATCATAATGCTAAATGATTGCTAATGTCACCACAAGCTGCCCAAAACTTGTGTTGCACACCACAATGTATTTTTATGGAATATTGCTAATGTACTTAATAGATAAAAGTGCACGTTTTTTTATGGATGTGTATTTAAGTGTCTCATAAAATGTAATGTGGTGTGTAACACAAGTTTAAGGTAAGTTGTGGTGGTGTATATATATGTATATATATATAATATACGTATTTATTTATTTATATGTAACTAAAGACATTTTTTATCATAAAATATGTATGTACATTCATATATGTAAACTGAGATACGTATGTACATTTTGTTGTGTATTTACCAAAGAGGGATTTTTATATTTTTACTATTAAAGCGGCATAACCAAATATACATTTCATGATTCTTCACTATTATTTAGTGTAAGAGTTGATAATCATCTCAAATCATGAATTTACTATTATACAATAAAATTTATTTGCACTGATAATCAATTGTGCCAATTAATTCAAACCATGTTGTTAGATGGATCCAAAATTGTGGATATATATATATATATATATATATATATAATATTTTAAGATTTCATTTTGATACATTCTGAAGAATGTGTTGAAGTTTTCTTATATGTATTTATTAAACCATAACATAAGAACTACCAACTAATTGGACATAAATTCAACACGTATTTTTAAACCATAACATAAGAACTACCAACTAATTGGACATAAATTCTACACGTGGTTTTGCAACCAAAGTCTATAGTATAACGTTGTTCAAGGTACAACCAGATTTATCCATGGCAAAAACATCAAAATACCAATGTATAAACACGGCTAAGAATAGACATGGATACAACCAACAAATAAAAACGATCTAAAAGACTTTTGAAGTAATTTTTAGAGTCATTAGAGTTATTTATGAGGGTAATGATAGCATCTGCTTTATGAGATATTTAATTTAAAACTTTACCATAGTTACATTCCAGTATATATATATATAAAATGAAATAAGTCATGACTTTAGATTTTATACGTGTAGTAAATCTAACAATGAATATATAGAACTGTTAGATAATTGCAAACGTGATTTTAATATTCCACAAATGGATCTTCAAAAATACCCAGCATCAAATATATTCTCTGATCTCACTCTGTATATAATATAATAGAAGAAGGATTGGCCAAAGTATTAAAATGGAATAAGTCATAATAAATGTGAGTGGGTGGAGAACCCAGTTCGAAACTGAGCACGGAACTCACGCCCTGAGTTTCCTCTCCGGTTTTCACATTTGGCGGGAGACGTTCGCTACGGTGCCACGAGGGATCACCAGCTCAAGGTGTCCGAACCCTTTGCCATCTGATGTGGCAGGCCTCATCTAAGTTAGACTCCCACATGTACCTCCACGTCAGCTGGACCCCGGGGTCTTGCTCGTTCTACCTTAAAAGTTCAAAACTACCTTTTTGTTCTCGAAGGGGTGGGAATGAGGTGATGTTAGGGTGCTGGTGACAAGGGGGCAAATTGTCCACACAAATTTAAAAGGACAAGATAAAAGAGTAAGTAACTATTTGGATTGGATTGCCACGTAGGCACTACCCCCTCTGGAGCCAATCCCCTTCTCTCCTTCAGTCTTAGCCATTCCCGACTTCCCCTCTAGCTCGGGAGCCAATGGGTTCACACCGCTGGACAGACGGACGGGCCATTCTGTCGGCGGAATCTCCGTTAATGGACGAATGAATATACGGATGAGAGTAATACCGTTCGTTCATATAGGCAGAGTTTGGGGTGTGGGCAAGCACGATGGGGGAATATTTCGGTTCTGGGTGGCCCTCATTAGAGATCAGAGTGGCTTTGGCAAGTGGGAGGAGGGTTTAGGGTTCTAGCTATATTGAATTGATGTACATGTTTCAATGTGAAACGTCTCTTGATATGTATATGTATTTATTTATTTATTTATAATTAGAAAATCTTGTTATTAAAATGTGCTTGATAGAACATATTAACAAATTTTACTGATATCCGTACTATTAATAGATATGGTATAAGTATCATAAGTAAGGTTGGAAAAAATGAGTATTAAAATTATGTTAATGTGCTTCTTTTAAGTTTATTCTACGTGGTTTTTGTGACATTGTATGATAGAATAATGATGTAATTGACAAAGCATTAAAATATTAGGCTATAGCCATAAATCACTAATAAATGTAAATTTTTTAGTTATAGAAGAAAATCAAAAGCATTCTTAATGTAATCTGTAAAAACATATTTCATCTAAAATAGGCCAGGCAACTAGACTCAAGTCCCTTTAAAATCGATGTTGATTGTCTTTGGGAAAATAGTGCCTAATCATCTAACTTAAATAAACTTATATAATTAAATAAGTAAACATATTGTTTTTGGTTCTATTTGATAAGCTGATTTCATTTTTTTTTCTTAGAAATATGTTTTTGATTTTTTAAACACCCTTTAAATGTATTTCTAAGATTTTTTAAGGTTGAATTTTGATTGTACTTGTGTTTTGTTCTTTTGTTAATGTGACTTATAATGTACAAGTGAGAAATAAATAGTCTTGTAACATATGGGTGATATTATATGATTTTTTAAATATAGTATATGATAAAAAGTTTAAAAGTGTGTTTTTGTAAATTTATATCTTTATTTTGTACATACTTAAATTACGAGCAAAATCTTTTTAAAATTGGATAAAAAAATATTATTTTATTTTATTAGAATGCATTATTCTTATTTATTTTGTTGTCCAATTAGTTGCAACTTGTGTATACTGGTTTCTTATTATTTAAGAAGTTATAAAAACTTAAAAAGGTCTTATTTGTATTTTACAAATAGTGTAATTTACATATTTACAAATTAAATTTGTAATCTAACTTCTTTAAGGCTTTTTGTATTAAAAATAACTGCAAGTATGATAATAATTCTTGCAAATATTTACTTACTTTTTAATTTTTGTTATTATTTTATTAAAGTTTACATAGATATACACTTATTATTTTATAAAATCATAACAAAATTTCTTTCTTGCTACTATATATTAGTGTATATTGATATGTACATATTCTAAGGTCTTTTAGTACAATGGTAACTTTAAGAATTGCTTATCTCATGGTTTTGGGTTTAATATCTTGTGATATTATAAGGGTCTAAGACAATATAATAGTGAGGTCTAAAATGACCTAGAGTTTAATATCTTGTGATATTATAAGGGTCGAAGACAATATAATAGTGAGGTCTAAGATGACCTAATTATATTGTAATTTTCTTTAATCAATCTCATGCCTTATGACCTTTGAACATGTTTAGTCTTATTTTGCAAACCCTTGATTTAATCTGATTTATTTATAAATTTGTAGTTAGTCAGTTTTATAGTTTGAATAGAATCATATAAATTGATGTCTTTTGAAAAAAAATTATATACAATGATAGGGCATAATATAAACCTTGAAATTGTTCAATCAAAACACTTAAGTTTAGACTTGAAAGTCTCTATTTTTATTTCTTGCCATAAAAAAACCATCTTATATAATTTCTAAGCCATGCTTGATAATGTTAAAAACATGACACTAACCATGTTATCTTTTTTTTGGGAAAAAATAAAAACACATGAATTAATTTACAATCTAAGCTAGAAGCCTAAATAAAAAATAATGCCATGAAGAAACTTAAAAAAAAGAAAAAAAACACAAAACACAACTAAATTAAAGACCTACAAATGAATTTTGCCAAATGGATTATTATTTACAATGCATAACCACTTGACCTCTTCTCCTTTGTATATCCACTACCCAAAGATAGCAAATAGGCATTGAGCCAAAGTAGAAACCTCTTGGTGCAAATGCCAGTTTATTTCTTCTCCATCTCAAACACTATAAATATTAGATATAATTGATAAGATGGCCACAAAGGCAAAAGTGGCAGCAAATTCAAACTCTAATACATTGGTCAATTTTGCCATATCGCTTTACTTCTTCATAAACTCTTACCTTTGCCCACATGAGAACATTTTTTCTCATGTGGACAAAATGCCCTCTTGCATCACCTCACCCTTGTGACCCACACTTGACATTCTTTCAGCACTGCAACAAGCACACAAAACTTTTTACTTTTTACTTTTTAACTTTCTGCTTTTGCCCAACCCATAAAATATTCAAGGCTGCCCAGCCCGAAAGGGTTCCGGTCTGCCCGTGGATGAACGAATGTTCCAGAAATTCATCCTCATCGGGGTAGTTCCGCAGGAGCCGCCGGGAAGTCACGCAGACAGCTTACGACGAGACAGAGCTGGACAGAGGAACGATTTCCCATTGTTCTGATGGCATTTCCTGGTTTTTGCCGTTGAGGCTGGATTTGCAGCAATCCTGCTCTCTCTGAGCTTCCCCCTTCTTAACCCCCTGCGCTCCATGCTTTGTCCTCCATTCTTCTTCTTCTTCTGTCTGCTGTTTTCGGGTTCTGTATTCACAGCCGTCGTTCGTCACCTCGGGTGTCTGTTCGCAGCTGTGACCTTGAGTTTTGTGTGCCTCTCTCTGTGTTTCGCGGAGAGTGGACTCTTGCTCGAGGCTCAGGTATTAATTCTTTCTCCCGATCTTGCCTGATTTCGTTGGATCCATACTCTGCACACAACCTGTGGTACCTGTATCTAGATTTCGGAATTGGTGTGGGTGAGGTGGTGTGGGAGAAGGGGCGTCGGTGAGTGCTTTCCATGGGAGTGCTTAATTTGACGCACTGCATCGCGATGCTGTCTAAGTTCCGTATTGAGAAATATTAGGTTCGGTTCGTAGTCGGTCATAACGGGGAGTGAGTACGAGTTTTAGATTTCTGTTCCTGGTCTGTTTAGATGGCGGAGACGCAGCTTTATTCTTACACTGTTAGTTGTTTTTGTTGTTTGTCGTTTCGATTTCCTCTGAAACGATTTTCTCCGACATTGTATTAGTCGCGCATTTCCTTCAGAGTGTCAGTCTTCAATTTTGAGGACGAAGAAGATTTTTTCAAGAGGTAAACTGTGGTGCTCTCCATCTGCGAAGTAGCGCAGTTAAGGTTAATTCATTCGTGTCGTATATATATATATATAATTTTTTCCTTACGTGAAACATCGTATCCTGGTTCAATCAGTATCCCTCTCGGGAACTGAAATTCCGAAGGAGAGAGCCAGGGTTAAAGTAACACGCGAAGGTATTGCTGCACAAAGTAATACGTACTGAGAACATATTGAGCCGCTCATTGAGTGAGTCACGATTGGGAGTAGATGCGTCTCTTCGTCCTGGACCCTTGTGACTCCGCTGATCACCTTTTATCACATCTTAACCGTTGCTCTGTGTTTTTCTAGGAGCTCGCATAGCCTATCCTGGTTCTATATTTGCTACCGCCTTTATTTGGGGGAAGGCCGTGTGTGCTTGGATTACTCCCACTTTCGCACTCGCATTCCGAGTTTTCTGAAATGAAATTGTAGCTCTTCCCTCATGTCTCGCTGGGAGTCATAGATTACTGATAAGACTCGCTAGTCTCTGGTCGGGGAGAAGAGTCATAGCTTCAACCTGGACGGCCATCTGCCAGAAAAACTGAATCTCACGAAAATGTCGGACGGGCGGAAGGAGCATCCCCTGTTCGGGAATGCTGTAGAGAAAGCAAACCTTGAGGATCTGGAAGATCTTGAGGAAAGAAGTATGACTCTCCTAGAAGGAAGGAGGATGAGTGAAGCCGTCGCATCGGTGTCGTACCAGGATGATGCGGCTGGCAGAGCCGCTCGGAAGTCTCTGGCTGGTGTCATCCTTGGTGTTGCGCCGTCTGCCGAGCGTTCTATGAGAGACTACACGATTGAGAGAAAAACAGAACCTGACGCTAACCTTGGTATGGATTGTCAAAGAGAATCACGGTTGCTTTATATTCCGAAATCAATCTTAGCCGGAAATCTCCTTTGCAAGGCAGTCCATTTCAATTAGTCCGTTTCTAGTAAAACTCTGATCTACGAACGGAAAAATATGCGACGCAAGTTTAATTCTTTGGAATCTAGTCATGTATTACCGTTTCGCAGCACAGACTGACAATGTTGGGCGATTGAAGAGAAATTTGATACATGGTGTGTTCTTTCAGCTCATTGGCTTTAAGACATTGATCAGGTTTACGTGCGGGGCAGAGGCTGTCGGAGTACACTGCGAGGATCGCTGGGCATAGCTCGATATTGACGACTGCCGCTCTGTTGATTGAAAACACGCTCTCTGACAGGCACTTGTCAGTTGGAAACATGGCATGGATGCCCATAGTCGGGGAGTCAATATTCCGGTTCGATGCGTCGGATGTGGCATGGAAGAATGCTGCGCCGTGTATGTCCTTGGTAGATCCGAAGCTTCGAGAGGATCGAGTTGACGCCTCGAACTTTGAGAGGAAGTCTCCGGTGTTCCTCCCGCAGTTTGAGATGGATGGCCGCCAGCAAGTTGCAGTGCTATTGGTAAGAAAGCTCTTTCCAATTAGCAGGGTTATTGTTTCATCCTTCTTTGGCCAACCGCAATTGTGGTTCACATCCTTTCCGAAGCAATGGTCCGTTCGGAAAATTCATTGAAATGAATTGTAATGTGTGTCTGCATTAGAAAAAAAATAATGTTTGGTTTAGTGATAACCGAGAGGATTCGAAGCATCATGAGTTGAACCTTTAGACGTTCAAAGAAATATGAATAGGTTGTGATACTCAAATTGTGCGCCATGCAGCTGCCTCTCAACACCACATTTTATGGCACTGGAGAGGTGGGTGGATCGTTGGAACGCACGGGGAAGCGTATATATACCTGGAACACTGATGCGTGGGGTTATAACCAAAGTACGACGTCATTGTATCAGTCCCATCCGTGGGTTTTCTGCGTGCTGGCAACTGGGGAGTCTTTTGGAGTGCTTGCCGATACAACTCTGCGTTGTGAAGTAAGCTTTCATAATTTCAATGTTACTGGGTTGTCTCTGTGACGATAAGCACATTGTCTACAATTAAATTGTGGTGCTTTTTTAGTACAAGTTCCATGCTAATGGCAGCTTTTGAACATGTGTTTAATTTCTCCGGTATGGTAAAGTGGGCAATCCGTATGACATCTCGATCGCTTCTGAGATTGAGAAAACACGCTGCAGAACTTCATCTGGGATATTGTTCCAGGAAAATTTTAAAACTTTCCCTAGAAGTCTGCGAATCGAGCAATCATTGATGTGCAGTGAAGTCTTTCTGACAACATTGTGAGGGTCGGATTGATGCGTAAAGACACGCAAAATAGAATGAACTATTGTTCCTTGACTTTCAATTGTGAAAAGGTTTGAGCTGTAAGCTGATGCACCTATGTTACAAGCAACTGTTGACTTCTTTTGTATCGCTAACCATCCTCTCGATGGGGTGAAGATTGACTTAAGGAAGGAGGCGACTATCAGGATTGCAGCTGCAGCACCTTACCCCTTGATCACGTTTGGACCATACCCTAACCCTGAAGCGTTGATTGTTGCTTTTGCTCAAGCAACCGGTACTTGCCTCATTTCCTTTGCGAACCATTTGCAAGCTTTTGCATACTGCAATTTTTTTCCCGGTTACTTTTGAAGTGTTCTACGCAATATATTCAACTTTTAGATAATACTGAGCTATTGATTGTTTACAGGCACCATACAATTGCCTCCAAAGTGGGCTCTTGGATATCAGCAATGCAGATGGAGTTACGAAACAGCAGAAAAAGTATCGAAGGTTCGTGCTGAGAATTCTCAAGGTGGTGATTTAATGCTATCTTTTCTCAGCTTTAGAATACTGTGTCGTGGAAGCCCTTTTTTGTGCTTTCTTGTCCACTACACAAACGTGGGTATTAGACTATCATAGAATGGTTTTAATGGGTAGCTTGGTTGTGTTGTGGTATTGTGACTCAGATTGCACACACCTTCCGGGAGACGAACATCCCCTGTGATGTTGTCTGGATGGACATCGATTACATGGACGGATTTAAGTGCTTCACCTTCGATAAGGTCTAATTCCTGTTAGGAAAACTTGCATTTTGAATTAATGTAATCTTTATGATAGCAGACGTTTCTTAGTAATTCGTAACTTAATCGACTGCTAGCTGGCATTTGCTAATAATTACATGACATAGAATGTCAGTTGGTTCATGTGTTTCTTGTGGTCTCTAAATGCAGGAAGTATTTCCAGATCCGAACGGACTTTCAAATGAGCTGCACAATATTGGTTTCAAGGGGATTTGGATGCTTGACCCTGGAATCAAAGTAGAGGAAGGGTATGAAGCGTACGATACTGGTTCTGCAGAGGACGTCTGGATCCAATCTGCCAATGGGAAGCCTTATGCCGGTACATCTCGGCGTTTGCATGATCAACAATGGCGGTGTTTATGATTTGCAAAAGCAGACGGGAATCTTTTCTATTCAAGCTAGAGATCCGTCTGTACTTTCCGTGTCGTCACCTCTGCTTCAGATGTTAACGTTTGCTTTTATGTTCGCGCACAGGCGAATGTTGGCCTGGACCAGTCTCATTTCCCGACTTTACAAATGAGAAAACCCGTAAGTGGTGGTCAAAGCTAGTGAAGAAGTTCGTAGCCAACGGTGTAGATGGCATCTGGAATGATATGAATGAGCCGGCAGTGTTCAAGGTGTGTTGCAAATCTATGAAAAGTGTGTTGTTCACAAGTCCATGTGTTTCTTTTCTAGTATTCTTATTTGTCTCTGGCTTATAAGTTGAATACCTATGAATTGATAGAATAATCGCATGTGCAGACTGTGTCCAAAACCATGCCAGAGACTAATATTCACCGAGGAGATGAGGAAGTTGGAGGTGTTCAGCCCCACTCATACTACCATAATGTAAGCACGCGCCTCAATGAGACTTTGTCTGAGCTTCATCATCTCATGGATTGCAATAAGACCGAGGATATGGTGGTGGAAGATTCTACCCTGATTTGTTTTTGTTATAGACACTGACGAGATGTTTTCCGTAGGTTTACGGTATGTTTCAAGCGAAAGCAACGTATGAGGGGATGTTGCTCGCCAACAAAGACAAGCGACCATTTGTGTTGACACGAGCAGGTTTTGTTGGTGCTCAAAGATTCGCTGCCACCTGGACGGGTGACAACCTGGCAACTTGGGAGCATTTGGGGATGAGCATTCCCATGGCCCTCAACTTGGTGCGTGAATCTCACATGTGTTGTTCATGTTTTGTGCCCTCATCGAGAAACTCCCTTATGAGAGAATCTAAAAAAATTTATTCTCCTTTCATAGCTTCACTAATATTTGATATTCTCCGTCATTTTGATGTATGCAGGGCTTAAGTGGGCAGCCATTTTCAGGTCCTGACATTGGTGGATTTGCTGGAGATGCGACTCCGAAGTTGTTTGTTCGGTGGATGGGTATCGGTTCAATGATGCCGTTTGCTAGAGGTCACTCCGAGAAGGGAACCATTGATCAAGAGCCGTGGTCCTTCGGTCCAGAAGTGAGTCTCAAGAAAAGTTTTTTGGTAGCATAAATATATTAGAGCGATTCAAGTGTCGACTTGTATTTGATTCCTCGCATCGCAACAATGTCTGGACACTTTTTTGTGTAGTGGATGAAACTTGTCAATAATCTCCCTCATTAGTTCACGTTCTTTCACAGGTGGAGAACCTTTGCAGATTTGCTCTCAACAGGAGATATCGGTTTCTGCCCCACTTTTACACTCTGTTCTACCAGGCTCATTTGAAGGGCTTGCCAGTAATGACTCCCTTGTTCTTTGCTGGTATACTCTCAGAGGATCTTTTTTCAGACTCTTTTCGTACTCTATTTCATTTGCATCTAGAAATAAAGATTGATGGTTGATGCTGTATTACTTTTTGCATTTTTGATAGATCCAAGCGACCTTTCACTGCGGAAAAGAGACGACGCTTTCTTGCTGGGGCCTATTCTCGTTTCTGTTAGGTAATTTGTTTGGGTTTTGTTGACATTCAAATCCCCTTCCTTATCTTATGTCAATGTCAGGGCATTATGGCATGGGTTTTGCAAGAATTCGCATGAGCTGAGTGGAGTGCAGCTGTGTATTGTCTCGTGATGGCAGATTGCTTACTTGCGACAGCTGATTCTTTTTTGGTTTTGGCAGTCTTACTCCAAAGAACCGAAAGGAAAACCTGGAGGGTGTTCTTCCCAAAGGCATTTGGCAGCGCTTCCATTTTGGAGATGACAATCCGGTAATTCTGTCTTATTGTTCGTGTCCTGCTTGGATTTTCTTTTCCTTTGAATTTTGCTTCGTAATGTTTCATTAGATTGTATTTGATCCTGTTGGATTCTGTTGTTCGTTGCAGGAACTTCCACTCTTGTTCTTGAAGGGCGGAGCAATTGTTCCAACTGGACCAGTTATTCAGCATGTTGGTGAAGCCAAGCTCACAGACACCATTACCTTGCTAGTTGCTCTTAATACTGAAGGTAAATCTACATACGAAGATGATTAATAATTTTGTGATCCTTATGTTTGTTTTTAGCTCCATTATGCTTGTTACAGAACTCCATTTTATCATTCAACTTCTCCTAAGCAACTTTCATGTTATTTCCACAGGAAAGGCGGAGGGCATGCTATATGAGGATGATGGTGATAGCTTTGGTTTCAAACATGGGAAGTATTTGCTTACTCACTACGAAGCTCAGCAGTTCAAGGAGGACGGTGATGAGGTCGTGGTTAGAGTTGTTCATTCTGAAGGTCAGTGGACAAGGCCCAATCGCAAATTGCATGTGCGACTCCTCCTTGGAAGTACAACAGAGGTTGAAGGCGAATGCAAAGATGGAGAGGAATTGAGGATCAAGTTGCCCTCAAAAGTTGAAATCAATGAGCTTGTGCAGTCCAATCGAAAAATTAATATTGCTGAAAGAGGTTCATGTCTTGCCTTAAAGCATAACCAATTATTTGTTATCCGGCACTTTAACGATCAATCATTTTCTGTTGCACCTCCTTCTTACTTTGTAGAGTGGTCTGCTTAAATTTACGGCGAATTGTTTTTCTGTGATATGCAGAGAAGTCACAGAATCTCTTAGATGTAGTATTTGAGGAGCACGACAGCATCAAGGGAGTTGGCGCTGTGCTTCTGCCAATCGACCTACAAGCTGGCAATGTTACAGTCAAGGTGGTACCATGGATCGGTGGCCGCATAATCTCCATGATACACAAACCGTCAGGCTACGAGTGGTTGGAGGGAAGATTTGAGTCTGGGTGTTACGAAGAGTATAGTGGCAATGAGTTCCGGTCTGCAGGCTGCACTGAGGAGTATAAAGTTGTCAAGTAAGCTAGCTCTCTCCGCAACAGACCCCATACATGTCCAAAGAAATAAATGGCAGCACTGTTATGCCAGTCGTAATTCGAAAGAATTATATGAAACGCTTTCTATTTCTAAATACCCACTAATGATCCTATGCAAGAAGAGATGTCATTTATATCATGTGTTGGATTGGAGTACTCAAACCTGGAGTGATCACTGTGTAGGCGGGATATGCAAGCTCTGGATGGCCAAGAGTTTGTGAGCTTGGAAGGAGACATCGGTGGTGGTTTGATTTTGGCTCGAGATGTTCTCGTCGCGAAAAACAACCCTGATATTGTGAGCATTAACTCCAGAATTGAGGCAAGGTCAGTCGGTGCCGGCTCAGGAGGCTTCTCAAGGCTAGTGCGTCTTCGAGTTCACCCACTGATGAAGCTGGTTAATCCTCTAGATTCTGTGATTAAGTTTACTGATATTAATGGCGATCACCACGAGCTTCGAGCTACCATGGAGTTCGGAGAGCACACATACGAGGGCACCTACAGACCAAATGGTGAGTTAGCACCTATTCAAACTGTGTTCATGTCATGTGTCATTCATATCCTTTCACATAATTTGGATGATTTTCAACGGGGTGTATCCTTTCTTACATGGTTAATTATTCTCTAATCGAAAGGTTGGTTTCTAATGTGAATGCTTAGGTGAGTGGAGGCTGGACGACACAGAGACTGGGCTAGCAATAATCAACAGATTCGACCTCAATCAAGTTGCATTATGTCTGATTAGTTGGGGCCCTGGTTCTGTGACACTTGAGCTTTGGTCTGAGGAGCGCCCTGTGTCGAAAGAGACGCCCATCACTATCACTCATGAGTATGAGTTCATCGATACTAATGTGTAGAAGAAATATCAAAGTAGTCTGCAGGTCTCATATCAAGCTGCTGTCGTTCATGCTTTTAAGATTTAGTGGCTAGTCAATAGTGGAGTGCAGTATAAATTTTCGGGTGAGAGATGTACCTCTCTTCCTCCCTTTTTTTTATTTTTTTATTTTTTTGATACTTCTGCAGCTGTAGTCTCGGAAGTTAGAATTATTTATTCTTGCAATAATCGTTGGGATTGATTCAAACATCCACATTCTGTTCACGATCGCCGAGTTCCCTCAGTCTGATGGCACTTGTGATAAACCATATTACGAATAGTATCAAAATCTGTTTTTTTTTTCTATTCTAACTTGTCATTGTAGTAGGATCTCGCTTGTCACACGTGGATGTTATTCATTTGTCATTGATTTGGCGTTATAGGTTTTTGGGCTAAAACTAGTAATCTCAGAGATGATATGTCACAATCGTTTGTAATGTATGACACTTTGTTCCAATCTCAAATTAGTCACATCAGTGTGGGTAAAACAATTGCTAAAGATGTGTGCATGACCAAAAACCTCAACAAGTTCCCTTCCAAAATTCCGGTACTTTCTTTGCAAAACCAGTTCTTGTGATTCTCATGTGTTGTGAAACTGCGATACCCAGTTACAAATCCCACCAATTATATGCTTCAATACAATCATTTTTTGTCCGTTGTTGCGTGCACAGCAATTCATGAAGCAAAATTGCCATGGCCCCATTCATTCCCCCTTTTCTAGCCCGGAGGAAGTGTATCAGAAGTAACGTGCCACTTCAGCAGGTTCATCGCAGATTTGTCAGCTTATCTACTTCGATGAGCAATTCCGTCCCTTTCCAATTCGTCGTTGGGGCAGGTTGAGTTTGTTTTTGTTTCTCCAGATCCTCGTGGTATCTGCGTCGGTGCTCTCTACTCGCAAGCATCTTCGCGTGTTGTAGCCGAAAGATTTGGGATGATGGTTTCTGGAGGTATATAGTTTTGTTTTTTTCCACCTCTTACACTCGCACTCGGCTTGGTGTCTTTTCACTTGCGCTTATATTTTCTACACCCATCTCTTGTTTGTGGCATCACTTCATTTTCCGGTGAGGTAAGGTTGCTTCATAGCTTTCGAATCTGTTCTTGGGATCCTGCACAGTAGGATAATTTGCTACGTAGGTTTCTGGGTTTCTGGGGTTATTTTTTTTTGTTGAAATCGAAGACATTTACGAATCAAGTGGGAGTTGGAAACAAGCGCAGCTTTGTGAGCCATGGGGAGCAGTGGATTACTTGACTTGGAGAAGCAATTCGCATTTTACGGTGCGTACCACAGCAATAAGGTCAATATCCTCATCCACGTCTGCTTCGTATGGCCCATCGTTTTTGGCATCGTCTCTCTGCTCGCGTACACGAATCCCCTGGCGCCGCAGTTGCCCGTTATGGCCGCCCTGCCTTTCCATGAATACATGGTGCTCAACTACAGCTTCATCTTCACGGCCGTGTATGCGTGGTTTTACATAATCTTGGAGCCCAAGTCGGGGTCATTGGCAGCCTTCCTGATGATCTTGTGCTGGATAGGCGCCAACGCCGTAGCACAACACATTCCCTATGCTTCTGGTTGGAGGGTATATTCCCCCCACCCCATTTCTTTCAACCCTCTTTTTTATTGGGAAAAAATGATTGGAATGTCTTTTCAACGATCGGAGTATGTTGATTGACAACTTGCGAATCTTCTTTGGGCACATGTTTTGCAGATTATTGCAGTCTCGCAGGTTGTGTGTTGGTCAGCTCAATTCATCGGCCATGGTGTTTTTGAGGTCAGTGTTGTTCTTCTCATTGATTGTCAAAACCTTACACTGTACGTCACTCCGATCTTGAGCATGAACCTAAAAAGTCTACTGCTATGGGCTTCTGTAGCCCTGCCATGGAATTTTCTTGTAGTCCGAATGGAACCTCTCTTGAGTTGCTAATTTATAAAAATCGACCCTGCGATGGAGAGTTCTTTCATCATCTATACACTCATCTGAAGTTTATTGAACACCTAATCACATCTGAAATTGATGACGCACAAGCAATTGTTGTGCAATCCTCTTGGTGGAACCAATTTGTTGAGGATCTGGTTAAATTGTGATGAGAGTTATAGAGCAAACAGAGAGTTTTTCTTTTTCTTTTTCTTGAAGCATTCACATCTTTGCTGATGCACTTGTATATTTACGCAGACAATCAGCTGTTGCTTAAATAGAACAAGTGTTTGATTTTTATGCGTTTTTGCTGTTCGTTTATTTCTTGATTGGTGCTATCTTGTGACAATTAACAGGGGCGTGCGCCTGCTCTGTTAGACAATCTTGTTCAGGCATTCCTCATGGCACCTTACTTTGTTTTGCTTGAGGTACATATTCTGTCCTTGTCACAACATCAAACCTGAAGCATGTATGAACTTTACAAAATTGCAATTTTAAAGTGAATCTGAATGTCGCGCCTTTGGTTCTAGTCTTTACCAAGCATCAGGAAGTATGCTAATGCAGGCCTTGAAACATCGACGCTGTTCTCTTGCTGTTTCATCCTTGATGTTTCAGGGTCTTGAATCTTAGAGACATACCCAAATGTAACTGATGAGAAAGCCCACGTGTGATGCAGGTGTTGCATACAATATTCCACTACGAGCCATATCCAGGTTTCACCAAAAATGTGCAAAACAAGGTCGGTGCCAGCATCGCAGAATACCGATCCAAGAAAGCAAAAGCAAAGCGCATGGAATGAGCAAGCCTAGATTCTTATCCTGACAGCGCATGACATTTGCACAAGTAAGGGTTGCGCTGTGAATGTGTCATACTTCGTACTTTGAACATTTAGCTGATTGAGACGTCCTGTGTTTCTTGAGAAGGCTTCTCCAAATAGGTCAGATGGGGTACATAGATAAAGGGATCCACTCTGATCGTGTACATGTGATGTTACCGGGTCTATTCTCATGTTTTGGAATAAAAGTTCCATGAAGCTCTGTACCTCAAGGTTGGCAGCTTATTCTACATCAGAAGTCAAGTGCAGGAACTTGCACGATCCTGCTTATGCTCTTTTTCTTATTGGAAATTTTCGTGCTGCAGAACTCGTTTCTTACCTCACACTGGGTTGTTGCCCTTGTTTGAGCTCCTCCTCCGTAAACAACAACACCCAGTTGAAATGAATGAGAAAATCAGCAGCAGCGGTCAAACATTCAGGCTTGCTTCCAGGATAGGAATCCTTCATTCAAATCTTTTGAGTTTGCAGATACATTACTTTGAAACTTACCACCAGTATTGCATAAATAAATAAATAAATTGGCTTCTTATCACCATATCTCACCTTGAAATCATTAACCTGATTGTTTATTCGCAATCACCGCTGAGGCCAACATCACACTGTTGACTGTAGCATGCAGCCCAACTCTGGCTTCATCGACAAATCGTGGGAACAATTCAATCATTTAAAACCTGTAAAGACAGTCTCCTAAAGTAAAATGATACCTGTTGTTTTTCATAACAATCATTTGAGACCCAATTCTCTAGACAAACCATGCATTTATAATCTCTGGAAACTTGGAATTGTGTTAAAGAAATTACACGTTAGGTTTATTTATTCATTCATTGATTCGTTTACCCATTAATTTACAAAAGTCTCTAAACAGTAACAATATAAAAAGTGGAGTGAAAAAATACACACGTACTTATATTATATTTTGGCGCTTAAGTTCTTTGACCAGTAAATGATTATATAAATAGATAAATTTTCACATTAAGAACTTTGAGCAAAGTGTCTAAACATCGGAATGCTGATTTGATGATTGGCATATCTTACAATCAAATAAGAAAAGCTTCCCAAAAACTTAGTTTTATTCACTTGCACAACTTCAATTATTTTTAAAATATTTTGTTCACACACACAGACAAACACATGCAAACAGAATACAAGGAATTGGAACCAATGACACTCTTGTTTGATGGAGGCTCTTTATATTCTTCATTGCACTTATTCAATTGTATTGAGCTTACTATAATGAAGAAAAAAGCGCCTTTGTTATTGAACTATTGTACATTTATAAGATTATAGATTATATATATATATATATATATCACATTTTACTCACTTTGAATTTAATCATTATTTTTGTAAATCTTGGCATGTTAAAGTTAGAAAAAACAAAGAAGGAGAATCTCACATATATATATATATGAGAATAGTAAAAGTTAATACTAAACAGTCTGTAAACTTTTTGGTGTTTTTTTCCAGCTCTTAAAATGAATTAGAAAATTTCAACCCTTGTAATTGTCTTTTGATAAAAAAAAGGAAAAGAAAAAGTAAAGAACGACTTAATAATTCCAAGACTCAAGATGAGTAATTCTAAGAAAAAGCTTCCTTTTTTCCCAATTCTCAGGGGCAACTTTCAACAAAGAAAAACCATGTTTCTTGGACTAACCCAAATTCTAGGGAAAATAAAAAAGTTGGAGAGCAAACTTTTGAGGAATAGCTCTTTGAAGGGGAGAGCTTCACACAGCTTTGCATTGCAGGGCCGACTGAACTCCCCCATAATAGAAGTGAAAAACAGACAAAAGAAATAAAACAAAAAACAAAAAAATCATTCATGAAGAACAAAAAGCTCATTCACCCGAAAAGGTAATATAAAAGCAAAAATTGAGATTACAAACCCTAACTGCAAGGAGGAAGGAAAGGCACAGCTGTTGCAAGAGTCTGCACAAACAAAAGAGAGTGAAAAGGAAATAGAAAAGAAAATAAAAAAAAAAGAAAAAGACAAAGAAAAGTAAGTGACTAGAAGGTTTGTGATAAAAAAAAAATCAAACGTGTTAGATTATGGCATATAACATATAAATATTTAAATAAAGAAGTAACTCATTTGAAGATGTATACAAAGAATGTGATGTTAGGTTAGAAAAAAGATTTGATACAAGAATATAGATAGATAGATATATAAACTTGGATGGTTCCAATACTTTGTATTAGTAAAATGAAAGTATTTCATCTCTTTTTTACACAAGAGCAATAAATCCTATAAAATTTGAATTAAACAATTTATGTGGCAAATATTTTATTATTTTAAAAGAACAACAAATAAACCTATTTTTTTGTAAAATATTCATTGTCTCCCTCTTAACTACAACTCTTTCTTAAAGCAAATATAGGATTTTTTTGCAAAAGAAAGAGTCATATTATTAGCTAGTTATCCTTAATGAGATTATGTGGGGTGTAGCAATATCAATTGGAGATGTAGTGTAAACAATTCTCTATTTGTATGACTTTTTAAAATAATATCTTTTAGAATTAATATATCAAATTTGTGTATATAATGTATATGTTTATTTTTTTTTAAATACAATGATCTTGGTTTATAAAAGTATAGTTGGTAATATATACGAATTATTAATATATACCAATATACCAAATAGTTTTAGAAACCATTGTTTTTGTTGCCAACTATTGATTAGACAATGGTTCCTAAGTTTATTTGTTAATAGCATATTCATAATAATATATTAAATATTCTAAAGTTGTATTTGTAAACTATAAATGAAAAATTATGGATTTGATATAACTTGTTGTGTTATCTTTTAACTATAATTATTAATAAAGAATTTCTACTTAAAATATTTATCTTATAATAGAGTTTTAAGAACAATATTTTTTAAAAAACTAGATGATGTACATGTTAAATGAAAATTTAAAGTAAATCTTAACTAAATTTATTTGCTGGGAAATTGCAAATAGACACAAGATTTGAAAGTGTAGTTTTATTTATGATATTTTTTCTTTCTTCTATTTCTATAATTTTTTATTTTTTTTTGCAAACTGTTCATATTTTATATTTTATAATAATCTATGTAACTTTTTACTAATTTTTAGCTTCTTGAAGATGAAATAGAAGTAATCTTTTGGATTGCAATAAGATGGACAATTAAATTATCTATAATTAAGTTTCTAAGACCTATGATTTAAATATAAAATATTCAGAAATAGTGGTTCTTAATTTATAGTGTCCTAAAAACATAAAGAATACATTTTTTTAAAGTTTCAAAAAATAATTTATAAATAATAAAAGCTATAAAAATATCACATATATTTTTAAAAAATATTATAAATTCTAAAAATCTACAAAAATTAATAGAAAATAATCCATAAAATTTTAGAGAGTTGTAAAAAGTAATAATCTATTCTAAAAAGTGATTTAAGTTGTATGTTCTTATATGCTTATGACATAAAGCAGAAAAAGTCAGATTGAATCAAAGTAAGAGTGCAATAAATTCCTTTTGAAAAACTTAATTTGTTAAAAGAACTTTGATCTATGTATTTGTGAGAAAGCATACAATTTTTTTAATTAATTAATTAATTAATTTTTTTGTACATACAATAAATAACTGAAAACAAATAAATATGAACAGATTATTTTCATTTAAAATTCCATTTTTTTTAAAATTTTAAAGAATTTATAGACAAAAATAAAAATAAACATAAATCTCAAAAAAAAATTAAAATTTATTAAAAAATTATATATGTATGCACGTTTTGGTGATTATATAGTTTTAGTTAATATTTTATATATTATATGTGATAAATATTTGAAAAAAAAATCCAAATATAAATAGGTATAATTATTATTTTAGTATTAAATTATTTACAATAAAAATTATAACATCAAGAATATTTTATAGAATAGTTAACAAGTCAACTAGTTTACAACATTTAGCGAAAAAAATTGTTTGATATATGCATCAACTTACAATTTGATTATTTTGACAAAGCATGTATAGCAATTTTCTTCTGATTTCTTTCTATAAAATTAGGATTCAAATTTTATTAAAAGAATAACAATGGATTAGTAAATTAAAATTTATTAATATTTTACATGCAACTAAATGTTTAAAAGATTAAAATTTTCAATCAAAAATTTATATGATTTTTTCTATTCATTAAAATAAAAATAAAACTATGTACATTATTTTTTTTAACTTGAAAAATAATAAATATAAAAGAAAAGATCAAATATAAAGAAATTTCAAAATTTCAATTTTATTTGTAATAGAATTAAGATTTTATTAGAGGATTATTAATGCTATATCTTCAATTGATATTGCTACACTCTATATGACCTTAATACGACTTAAATTGATTGAAAAGTATAATTCTATAATTAAGGTTTTTTTGGTAGTTTAATATTTAATTCCAATATTAATCTAAAAATAGAATAGAATAAAAATATTTTTATACTTTTAAAATAAAAAAATTTATTGAAATAAAGTTTTAAAAAATATTTTATTTTTTAAAAGAAAAACTTGTGACTTATTTTTTCATAATTTTTTTTTTATTATCTTTATTGAAGAAATAGAACTTTGAAGTTATAATAAATAGCATTAGCAAAGTTGCATACAAAGTGAGTGTAGAGTAAGATAATCTCACTTCCATTACTTGTTACTTATAGGTAGTCATTCTTACTATAGTAGACAACTTCCATCCTTTAATAAATAAATCCATCAAATATTCTACTAAGACTATCCATTGATATCTTATTTACAATGAAAATATGTCTTTAGCATATCCTTTATATCCTTAAGATCTTTTGCCTATTCATCTATCTTATCTCTTGCCCTTCTTATATACCAAAAGTCAATCCTTTGACTATTAGCAACTTATCTTAGATAATATCCGTCATAAGATAATTTATTCTATTTTTACTTTTATTTATTTATTTTAATACTCTCTCTTTGGTATTGATCAAAGACTTTCAATTCTAATGCCTTTGTTAATATGTGATGTCTATCCTTTATTAATGCTTTTGTCAATAAATCAATAAGTATATCTTTCATTGTACAATATTTCATGCCAATTGCTCCTATTTCAATTTTTTTTTTTATAAAGTGATATTGAATGTCAATGTCCTTGATCTTTGAATGATACTTTGAATTCTTTGCAAAACCAAGACATCCTTAATTGTCACACTTCATTAGAGTTGCCTCTAATTGGACTACTTCAATATCCTCAAAAAATCATTTTAGCCATATTGCTTCCATTGTACCATAGCTTGCTGCCATATACTCTGCATTACTTATGAATTTTACAATTGTTGATTGTTTCTTATAATTCCATGACATAATTCCAACTCCAAAATAAAAAATATATTCCATTGTTGACCTTCTAACATTTGTATCTTTAATCCAATCCGCATCATAATAACTATGCAAAGTAATGTTATACTTCTAACATATAATTTAAAATACAAAGTTTTTTTTAAGTACCTCATGATTTTTTTGATGGTTGCTCAATGGATTGGTCTAATCTTTGATATGTATTAGCTTACAACACTCACTTTATATGCATGATCCACCCTTATATCAACCATTGTATACATTAATGAGTCTAAAATTATATTATATGGAATATCTTATATTTGACCTTCAATTTCAGTAAACTCTTCATTCATGAGCTTTATTAATTTCAAATTAGAATCTAAAGATATTTCAATAGGCTTACACTTCTTTATATTGAATTATATCAACACTTCTTTAATATACTTGCTTTGGCTTATTGTAATGGTCTTATTAGCATAATCTGTTATAAATTCTATTCTTAAATAATAGTAAAGCTGTTCCAAATCACTTATTTCATATTTTTTTCTTACTTTGCTTTCAACCGATCTATCATCAAAGTAGTGGTTAAGATGATTAAATCATCAACATAGAAAATGATAATCAATAAGAATTAATTTAATTGCATGACATGTATAGAATGATCAGTTTCACTTCTTACAAATCTTTCATTCAGAAAGAATATGTAAATATGTTGATATCATACTTTTAATGATTGAATCCATATAAAGATTTTTTCAACTTAAAAATAAGATATTATTTTTTTTTTCAATAAATCTTTAAGATTGATTCAAATAGATATCTTCTTTCAAATTTACATTCAAAAAAGTTGTCTTTACATCTATTTGATGTATCTCCAAATCTATTGCTACCTCAATTGCTATAATAATTTCAATGGTCGTAAATTTTTCTATAAAAATAAATATTTTATTAAAATCAATATCAATAACTTATGAATATCTTTTAGTTACCAATCTAGCCTTATATTTTACAACATTATCTAATACATTTTTTTTTGTTCTAAATATCAAGTTACAACCAATTGAAGATTAATTTGTTAGAAGTTGAATCAATTTCTATGTTCTATTATCCATGAGTGATTTGTATTCTTTTTTTATGGTTTTTTTCTATTTCATAGCATCGGTGGACTTCATTACATCACATAAACTTAATATATTAGTAAAGAATAATATATTAATATATTCTTTATTTATTTAAAGAAAAATATGATTTTTATATTATTTATCAAGTTGTTTTCTTTCTTTCATAAGATATCTCCTTTCACTTGATGAAGATTTACTTTCATGCACTTTGAGGTCTCTTGCAAGCTGCTTCTTTTTTAAAGTTTGTTTCTTCACATTCAACATAAAGGAGGTAGTTCTAAAAATGCGTGGTGATTGCATGGTGACTGCTATAGAATGGCATTGTCATAGATGCTTATCTATCATCTATGATGATTTTAATGGTTATTACTACTGTGAGTGCGGATCAGCTCCATCGGACTCGTACTCGTTCAAATGTAATAACAGGTTCCACGGAGACGAGTTTGTCATGTCTAGCAAATGCCTGGACAATCACGAGGTACCTCGGGAGCATGTTAGCCCCAATGTCAACATACTTCTATTGGGACCAACTGGTGTTGGTAAGTCGACCTTCATCAATGCTCTTGCTAACTATCTGACTTTTGACACACTCGATGAGGTGCTTGATAACAAATTGGCAAGCCTAATATACTCCAAAATATCCATAACCACTGACGATTACGATGAGAGAGAGGTTATAGTTGGAGACGATGATGCAAACGAGGGTAGTAATGACAGAATAACGGGTCAATCGTGTACGCAAAACTGTAAGTCTTACCCATTTCCAATAGAAGATGGAGGAATACTAAGGATAATAGATACTCCTGGAATAGGAGATACCAGAGGGGTTGATGAAGATAAGGCAAACATGAAAGACGTCCTTACCTACATCTTGTCATACGACGCAATCAATGCTATTTGTATTCTGCTCAAGCCAGATGAAGCAAGATTGACACCATCTCTCAAATATTGTATCATGGAGCTCTTTGTACAGTTGGATAAAGATGCTGCTAAGAACATAGTATTATGTTTTACGAACACCAAGGGTACGATGTATCGTCCTAGAGCAACCAAACGGCTTCTCTATGCACTACTCTCAGAGATAAGCACTGAGATGGGAGAAGCTACTACTATCAAGCTGACCAGAGACACAATGTACTGCTTTGATAGCGAGTCATTCATATTCTTAGTTTGTTCTCAGGATGGGATTAGCTTTCATGAGCAGGATTCGTATAGAGGCAATTGGAAGCAATTAGTCGACGAGTCTGGAAGACTGATAGCTTATATTGCTTCTCTCGAACCTCATCCTACTGAGAAGATTCCAGTCTAAAGCACTGTAAACTTTTGTAAATTCCCATATCTATAAATTCACCAAAGTGTGTTGCACTACATACAGCATAAGCAACTGCTAAGCACTGTTGTGATGAGGCAAAGTACAAGTTCGAAACAACAACGTGAAAGGATACTTTTGTGTTGCTACTATCAACGCTTTGGTACACAAGAACATCTATTCTTTTTCTTAATACTTTGTCTAGAATAGAAGTTATATGTTCTATAAAAATATTTGTTTCTACATTCCACCTATCAGCAGGACAATCTATGTCAAGTCTGAACTTCTGAGGACCTTCTCTTATGACTTCTGAGAACTTCCTCTCACTAGGAAGCAGTGTTTTGTACCATAATAAGAAGTACTCCCAACTTTCAAAAAAAGCAAAGTACCTTCTATCATCATCATCTACTCGTTGAACTATACATCTATCTTTGTCTATTAAGATATTACTTAATGGACCTATTTTTATTGTGTTGTAGAACATCTTTTCTTTATACATCTTGCTCATCTTGACAAGTGCTTGATGTTGCAATGCATAGATGATAATGTCTAGCAACCACGGAAGTGATATCCTTTCAGTTGCATTCGTATGTGATACTGCAGCGCCAGCACGATGGCATCAATCTTTGTAAAGCTTTCTGGGCTTTCCCAAGGTCAATTTAAGGACCCAATGTTACAATTTCTCGACGCCTACAATGGAAAGTATATTGTAGAAGATGTGCACAGGATGTGTGTAGCCTTTAAAACATCAGAAGAGAACACCTATGTCTACTTCTTCCCAACAATACCTACAGACTACAAGCTGATATCTTCATTAACAACTATTACTTCCAATAGCTCTAGTGTTGTATTCTCAACCGACAAATCTTGTATTGTTGAAGAAGCAGTGTTCTACTTCCCTTGTGATGATGCAGATGATGCTGTACAATATCTTGGTCTAAGCTGTAGCAAGAGCAAGCATTATAGTACGATGGTAGAAGCTTGTTCCACATAGACCATAGAACTTGAAGAGAGAGGTAAGAAAGACGTGTATGCAAAGATATCACCTACATGGCCTTGTGACATCTACAGTATACGATGCTCAAAAGGTAGAAAAAAGGAAATTGTAAGGGACTTAATATGTGTATGTCCTAAGAATCCTGAGCTTATCACTTCAAAGATATTTTGTGTAATATACAATGATAAGTTTGTATGTTCCAACTTTGACAAGGTAACTCTATATTTTTTCGACACTAGGAATTGGGCTCTAAAGAGCTCCAAAGCATCAATGATGAAAGAGATTCTCGTGGGAATGTACAGGTTCATAGCAGATGTATGCGAGTCCTACATAGAGACTATCAAACCTGCTACCAAGATAATAGATTTTATACAATCATCTGACAATAGAAGGAAGATAATGTATACTTGTGCAGGAATGTTATACAAAGAGGACTTTGAAGAGTTGTTGAACTCTCGAAGAGACATGATAGGTATGAAAGGTGGTGTGTACGACTTTACAGAAGACAGGTTCAGAAGGATGGAACCAGATGACTATATTACATTGTCAACTAGAATCCCATTTGTACCACTCGATTATAACTCAGAAGCAACTAATGAGGTTCTTGATCTCCTATCAAAGGTGTTCCCTAACGAGGACATAAGGAGATACTTTATGAGGTTCATCTCATCATGTTTAGAAGGATGAAACACAAATAAGATATTCTCCATATGGTCAGTGTTTGGAGACAACGGAAAGACTGTTATGGTCTCTCTAGTTGAACGAGCGTTTGGAGACTATGCAATAAAGATGCTAACATCATTGCTTATGGGAAAGAGAGTACAATCGTCAGCAGCCACTCCTAAGCTAGCAATGCTTAAAAGAAGACTTATAGCTCTCGTTCAAGAGCCTGATGAAGGTGACAAACTCAACCTTGGTGTTATGAAAGAGCTTACAGGAAATGATAGTCTCTATATTAGAGAATTGTATGAAGAAGGAGCTGTTATACCTCAGACAGCAAAGTTTGTACTCATTGCCAACAGGATCCCACAGATGAGTACGTTCGACAAAGCTGTGTGGAGTAGAGTTAGAGTAATGCCATTCATATCAACGTTTGTTGACAAGATAGAACCATCTCATGATCCTCTTACAACGCACTTAAAAGATATTAACTTCTCTAATAAGATTCCTTTGCTTGCTCATGTATTCATGAGATTAGTGATAGAAGAGTACAAGCAATATCTAACTTATGGTCTTGAAGAACCTAATGAAGGTAAGGACTGCACTGAGACAATCCGTGTGTCTAATGATATCTTTGGATAGTTCTTGAGCGCTAATGTTGAGAAGAGCAACAAGAGTATAGTTGCTATAAAAGAGCTGTACGATACTTACAAGTACTGGTCAAAGGATATGTTTCCAACAATGAAAGTAAAAGATATATCGTCTCTACGACAATATCTAGTTAAGAACTCGTACACCATAGATACTGTAGATCAGATTCAAGGATTATCTTTGATATAGATAACAAAAAAAAAGTTTTTTTAACTTATGCAGGTTATGGTACTACTTGTATGTTCGATGGAAAAAGATGTTGCTTTCTAGTCCCTGGACCAGAAAAACATACTGTTGCTGCGACAGTGCTTAGTTAAGAGCTTGTATGTAAGTAGTACATGTAACAAGTTCTTACACGTCTTTTCTTTAGTGTTGGTACTGCATATCCTCCAGTATTCCTATGATATCGAAGGTGCTTGGTCTTTCAGTAGCACCTCTCTGCATACACTTTCGTGCGACTCCTAGTAAGCCATCACCGGATAACTGTATTGCTTCAAATACTTCGTCTCCACTATTAGTAGTATTATCATCAAGCAGACACTTACCATGATCTATCTCAAGTAGTAATACACCTAGAGAGTATATATCACAAGACAAACTATAACTTGACGGGTGCTGCCCTCTTCTTTCAGGTGGTTGATACAACAGTGTCATCCTTTTAGTAATTGCACTACCTTGCTCATATGAGTTATCACTACGCTCAACACTCATTATTCTAGAGCCAATGAAACGTGATAGTCCAACATTGCCATTAGCATCAGCGAGAATGGAGGAACTATTTATATTTTTGTGAGCTATACCACAGATATGGATCTCATTTATAACACGAGTTATGTCGATTGTAATGGGTATGCTCTTCTTTACCACATCAGAGCCAATTATATCTCTTAGTCTATGACTAAGAGCAGTCTTGCTAAGGAGATAGAAGCCTTTCTTAGGTTCTATAATCTTCCAGGGCTTGACAATATAGTTACAACTCATGTCTCTTAGTGCTATTACGACAGCTACGTGCCTCAAGAACCTATCTTTCTTTTCTTTTGAGCTAGATCCAGGTTCTATGTACTCAACCATGCATTGTATATTGTTATGTATTATAATCGCACTATCATTTGGAACTGTAAAATTTTTATTGTCCTCGTACACACCATCGTTTGCCAAGTCGCTCTTAGTTTTGTAGCGGACATTATTCTGTGCATTGGACACGTTTCTAAGGCCGTTGTACAAAGTAGACTCTCTGTTAGACATATCATCCTTCATATAATGCACTGAGCGGAGATTCACCAATATCTGATAGTATTCTTTTAATTCACCAATACTTCTCCTCCTCTTATCAATGACAACTAAGCGCTTCATGCGCGTATCTTTGTTAAGCTTTAGTTGTAATGTCTGTAGTTTCTTACGTATAACTACATATAAGCCACTGAGTGCTTCATTCTCATAGTGAGTGGGCCTATCTCTGTGACAAAAGTCACTAGACATAGTTGTAATTGTACTCTTCAACACTAATATAGTGCTTACCTCATTGTCGTACCCGCTTGCTATTGTCTTCACCCTGCTCGGTATGTTGTTGCAAAGGTCAATAAGCTGACCTGGAGCCATCACCAAGGCGACAGCTGTAGAGGCAATCTCTGCAAGAGTAGCAAGATCCATTTTCTAGCCTTGTATCTCTAACAAGCCGAAAAAGTATCAAGGTCAAGACCTAATCCACTCAAGATCCAAGGGTACTTCGCCACTAAGTTATTACAAGCTTTTGATATTAGTATTTCCTTGCTCTTTGCACTTTCAAGCCATGTGTAAAGGTCTCGTATCACTCTTTCTTCTTCTAGTATACAACGCATCATATCGTGTATACATCTATCATCTCCAGTGCTACTTTGCACGATGGAATACATAACCCTTATAATATCCTTTTCAGGAATGTGTGGCTCAAACATCTGTTCAAGCTCTCTTGTCTTGTACATAAAGTACATACTATACCAATACTTAAACTTGCTCATGTCACCTACAGATTCATAATATAATGACAATTGTAAGTATGCATCCGTAGACCCTAAGTATACAGAGCGTTCCAAATACCTATTGCGATCATCGCCCTCAGATAACATGCCCAAGAACAGTAAAGCTTCTGCATTTGCTACACTTGATAATTCTCGAAGACGATTAAGTGCTACTTCTGTGTCTCCTTCCTTTTCTTATATTATTGCAAGCAATATTTTGCATGAAACACTTCCTAAGCTTACCCCTCTAGCTGCCTATAACTTCGCTTCATCTATATTCTTATACATTAGATGTCATGCTACGTAGTCCATAGCATCACCACTGCCCATGTTAGCAGAAGTCAAAAACCAATCCATGGCTTCTTCATGCTCCTCATAGTCCTCTAATATTGCTGCATACTTTCGTATTCCCTCAGCACTCATCTGGCTCCTTTTTTCTTTCTTAAGGTCATTAACTTGTACAACATCTTTCCAGAGCCTAAAGAACCTCGCTAGGGATTCCATAGCATATATCGATTCATCTTCACAACTCATTATAGTTCTTCTTGCATATTCCAATTGACGAGTACTAACATATTGTTAGGGACATAGTCCTTAGACCTTTCTAGAGACAAGTTTCTAGAACCTTCTAGAAAGAAGTTTCTAGAAACTTCCAGAAGATTCCTTGAATATTCTCTTAGGATATTCTTTAAAGA